GCCTCCGGCGGCCAGTCTTTGGTCTCCGTCAGGCGCCTCGTGAGTAGCACGACACACTGAGGACGATGCTTGCGGCTCTTGGGTTTGCTCCTTCGACTGCTGACCCGTCGCTGTTTCTGCGCACCGACACTTCGCTGCCGCCATTCTACATCGTCGTGTACGTCGACGACTTGGACTTTGCCACTGCTGACACTGAAGGACTCGCCCACGTGAAGTCAGAGCTGCAGAAGAGACACACGTGCACAGACCTAGGAGAGTTGCGCAGCTATCTTGGCTTGCAGATCACCCGGGACAGAGCACGGCACACCATTACCCTGACTCAGTCACACATGGTGCAGCAGGTCCTTCAGCGCTTCAGCTTCACGTACTCCTCGTCACAGTCCTCGCGTCTGCCTACTGGTCACTCGCTCGCAACTCTGCCTTCGGATGAGTCCGTAGAGCCGAGTGGCTCGTATCCAGAGCTTGTAGGCTGCCTCATGTACCTGATGACCTGCACTCGACCTGACCTTGCTTGCCCTCTTAGCATCCTGGCACGCTACGTTGCGCCTGGGAGACACCGACCAGAGCACTGGGATGCCGCTAAGAGGGTGTTGCGCTACTTGTGTAGTACGTCGGGCATGGGTCTCGTGCTTGGAGGTCGGGCTCGAGTTGTCCTCACTGGTCACGCAGACGCTTCTTGGGTTGACGACTTGGCTACGCAGCGGTCGTCATAGGGTTACACCTTCAGTCTTGGCTGCGGCTCTATTTCCTGGCGGTCTACCCGTTGTCTTCTGTTCTCAGTTCCAGTTGTGAGGCTGAGATCTACGCAGGGGCCATGGCTGCACAGGAGTTACGTTGGCTCACCTACCTGCTGACTGACTTGGGAGAGCCGCCTCGTTCTCCTCCAGTTCTGTACGTTGACAACAAGGCCATGATTGCCTTGTGTCAGGACCATCGACTGGAGCACAAAATGAAGCACATTGCTCCGCGTTACTTCCTTGCTCGAGAGTTGCAGCAGCGTGGTCAGCTTCGTCTTGCTTACGTGGCCTCTCGGGCCGACACTGCTGATATCTTCACCAAGGCACTTCAGCCTTGTGATCATCAGCGGTTCTGTACTGTTCTAGGATTTGTGCCTACTTGGCCTCACTTGCTCACCTCTTGACTTTGCTTGTACTGTGATCTATTTTGTATACCTGCATGCCTACTTCTGCTAGGTAGCGATCACTGTACTGTTGTTGTTACATATATACCACCGCATGTGAACTGGCCTTGTGGCCTTTAGCTTGTGCTCGGAGTGTGTGGTGACGTTGTGATCCACCCTGAGCTTGCTTTGCTTGTCTTGACTGGTCTTGTGACCCCTTGTTGTCCCCCACTTTGCCTATGGGGGTGTGTCAAACTATATATGTGTTAGCTCTGTATAGGCTATAGTTGGGTAGCCCATATGGGGTACAACCCAATGTTTGGGTTAGTACTTGTACCCACAATTCATCTAATGCAGTCATTCCTGCTTGCTATCTTGACAGAGGATAGCCTGGTGCTGCCGGGGAAGTGGGTTGACGTAGCGGTGCGGCGACCAATGGCCAGAGAGGCTCACGTGTCAGAGGTCCACTGGAGATCCCGGATTGATCCTAGGGAAGGGTTACAGGCACGTTGGCCTGGGGGGTTATGGGCGCACTGACCCGCTACTTAACAAGCCCTTTTATCCCAATGGTCTAGTGGTTGGGATTCTGACATGGTATCAGAGCGAAGGTCTCGGGTTCGAATCCCAGTGTGTGCACCTCGGGCATCTCAGTGCGGGGGGGTGTCAGAGGTCCACTGGAGATCCCCGATTGATCCTAGGGAAGGGTTACAGGCACGTTGGCCTGGGGGGTTATGGGCGCACTGACCCGCTACTTAACAAGCCCTTTTATCCCAATGGTCTAGTGGTTGGGATTCTGACATCACGCTCTAGAGATCAACGTCGCGGACCCGCTATCGCTGTCTCTATCTCTACTAGGGCAGTGCGGGCGTTCCGTAGGAGTGGCGGCAAGGGAGTGGGAGCGTTGCAAAACGAGTGATTACACACATCTGCTTGCACGCAACCGGGGCGTGCAATTCACACCTCTGATAGTAGAGACATGGGGGTGTCTGGGCTGTCGTTTTCGCCGATGGCTTCGACACAAGGAGGATGCGCACTTGGGGCTAGCTTGTCACAAAGGGGCATGTCGGAAGGATGACACAACGTTTTTGGCCGCTGGGGTCTTTGAAGGCGCCCATTGGGGCGGCGTTACAACGGGCTCAAGCCCGTGACATCCTGCTCCGTGCGACGCCTTCCATGAGGGAATGGACATTGATTTGGTGAACAGGGAGAGGGACGACGCCGAGGTGGAGGGTGGGGTTCTCTGGGTGGAGGCCCCATACATGGTGGATGCACGGATGTGAATGGGGAGGAGTGAAGTGGGGTGTATGATGGTTGCAAGGGTTGGAATGGGATGGGAGCAAGGTTTGGAATATGATAAAAGTGGGTAGAGAGGTAAATTCTCTTAAAAACTGAATAGTGGTATGCAGGGATAACTCTAATATGTAAACATCGACAGATTCTGGCACAATTTAGTGCTGGTCTAGTCACAACTGTCTTCTAGATTGCAATCTAGATTACATATCCTCTTAGGATTAATACAAGAATGCATATTGGCATCACTATTGTTTAGGGTTATTATACGAATGGTCACTGAACAGGGTGTGCTAACACAAATGGTTACGGGGTTATCACAAACGGTAATTGAAACTGGCAAATCTATCACGGATTGTCACTGATTTATCACGAATAGTCACCCGTCGCCCCACGATGCTATCATGAATAGTCACTGAAAGAAACGCCCGCCCGAAAGTTGAAATGCTTCCCCATGCGTTATCACACTGTTGCGATTTAGAGACTATTAGAGCGTTAATTTTGTTTGTCGTTTTAATTGCAGCATCATTTCTGTCTGTTGGCGCCGTTTTGTTTGTAGTGTTGCGAGACGTTGTTACTTACAAAATACTATTCGTGACCATTCTTGCGAAATCGTTAAAAATCTCGCGAAATTTCTTGGCAACATCGGAAAGCTAGCTCGATTGTCCACTGTTTGATTTATGTATAATGTCCTAAGAATAGCACTTTAAGACGGGTGAAACCCGAAGTTTATTTTTGTTCCAAGGAAAAAACTAAAACCCATTCGGATGGGATTTTCATCGGGAGGAATCAACCCTAAACACATTTCGCATGGTGTTTAGGTTTGATGCTTCCCAAAGGGTGTGCCATCCTATAGATGTCAGGCGAGAATCATGCGAGAGGTAACAAACAATCGAAATTAAGATTCCTCAAAATCTCCACAGTTTTTCATCAGGGAGTTTCAACTTTCCTTGAGAATTTCATCGAGTGACCATTCGTGATAGAAATGCGGGGCAGCGAGTGACTATCCGTGATAGCACTATGATCATCCGTGATAGATTTGCCCGTTCCAATGACCGTTCGTGATAACCCCGTAACCATTTGTGGTAGCGCGCCCTTAATAGTGACTATCTGTATAATAACCCCTATTGTTTATCCTATTGTTGAGCAAATTGTCGAGTCGTCGTGCTTTTCAACTGTGAGCAACATATTTGGACGGCTCCATTCAAGGTCGTTGGGCAAAGCCCAGGTGAAGCAGGGCGGACAAAAGTTCGGCAATGGCAGGGGTGAAATCTGCCCTGCGCTTCGGCAGATTGAAATAAATGGGGCTCATTCAGTTTTTCTTCCTGAATTGAAACCCGCTTCACTCCACTCGACATCCAAGTCAGGGTTTCGTCCCCTGAGTTGATCTCGTTGCAACGAAATGCGAACATCCCCGCAACCGCCAAGCCAGCACAACATGACCCGTTTTGACCAATTCAAGGCCAGATTACGCTCTCACCGGCGCCTCTTCCCTGCCTCTGTGTTGGTGGTGGTCAGGTTGAGAAAACGCGGGAGAAATTCCAGAGGAACCCGACACAGCAGCAGTAGTTGTGTGATTGGGAACAGGGAGATAGTGCAAGGCTGCTAGACTCATCATCCATTAGGGCTTCCATAGTCATGCTGTTCTACGCGACCTTTCAGTGTAGAAGCACAACGGCCCCTGTCGTCTGCTAACCTTAGGGCCACCTGCCGTTGCCTTCACTTTTGCTTACTCTTTGAGAAATGTTTGGTAAACATTGTCGCAGCTCATAACCCTTGCAGTCATGCTTCAGACGATTAACAGAGTCTTTACCCATAGCACCAGCTTCAAGAGAAGGGGAAAGGGGGATTATGAAAACAACGGGGATAAGTCTCCGCTTAGCGGAAAAGACTCTGCCGCAGGGGATCAGCGACCAGACTCCCCTATTCGACTCGGATCGCCGTCGGTTGCAGCGCTAGGCGAGTCGACGCTTAAAAAGATCGTTAAACGGTCGTTCTATGGCGACACGTCGGTGGAACCGCTTGTCGATGGGAGAGGGGGAACGGGGAAGGAGGTTCCGACGGAAATGCTCGCGTTCGAGATAGGAGCCATCATGCGTCGCACGCTCGAAATATGCGACTCCATGTCCGAGAAAATGCTCTCATCGTTGCGCGCCAACCTTCAGGTCCGATAAGGTTTACCTCGGTATACGCCGTTAGTGTGGTCTTGCAGCTCTTTTCCCGTAGCTGCTACACGTGACTCCATTCGCGTGCGACTTTTGGTCAGCGTTCTTATTGTTAGTCAACGGTCTCTGCTCCAGGTCTCCTTACTCCTCCCTGCCTTCACTTCTCTCCTCTTTCCGACGAGCCTCAGTATGCATGAATCTCATAGTTTTCCTTGTGGCTTCGCTCCGCGCAGGCGCCTGGCGTTGTAACTTTAATCTCCAGCGACCTTAGAGTACTATGGGGCCTCGCGGGGTACGAGAAGCATCAGGAGCTGCGGTCCGTCGCGTGCCGCGTCGCGGTGTTGGGTCGCAAGTGCCGGGAATCGCGACTACACCGACTCGAGCGGCTCTTTGCGCGGCTCGACAGCACAGATGCCGATTATAAGATGTTCGCCGCGTCTTCTGCTGAAGGGGAGGTGCTTCTTAGGTGAGCTGAAGGGGAGGTGTCTTTTAAGGTGATACAATGTTGATCAGGGGTAGTGTGAGTGCTGTGATGTGGATGATTCTATTGGAGAGGTGATAGTGTTGCGAGTCTTGTTCTCATGAGTTGCGTTCGCGTTCCCTTCCCATTCTTCCTTCACGCATGGCGCGGTGTTTGCACTGCACGGTATGGCATGGTGTGGCACGGTATGGCACGGAATGGCACGGTTTGGCACGGTATGGCACGGCAGGTTCATGCGCGAGCAAGCGGAGGCGACGAGCGAGCTGAAGAGCGAGATGGAGTCCATCCAGGAGCTGCACAGCCGGTGAGCGCGCGCCATGAGAAAGAGGGGTGGGGGGAGGGGGAACGAAGGATGTGGGGCGGGGGGAGAGAGGGAGGAGGTGAATGGAATGGAACGGGGGAAATGGAGGCGGGGAAGTGGCGGGGGGATGGTGTCATTCCCGCCGCACCCGTACCCCTTGTCCCAAGCCCCTTCTTCCCCAATACATGTACTCCTTGAGGAGATGGTTACTCAGGGCAAGCTGGTAGCGCGGCTGCTGCCTGCTGACACGCCTGTCATTCTCCCCCCCCACCCCACCCACCCCCTTTCCGCCCATTTCCCGCGTGGCAGCATTCAGGAGTACGGGGAGTGGAACTCGCTGCAGGAGATGGTGACGCAGGGCAAGCTGGTGGAGAAGCTGCAGGGCCACTGCCTCTGGGCGTACCACCTCGACTTCCTCGTGCAGGTGGGTGCTCTCGAAGCACCGTTTACAGCATTAGCATCAGGATCAGCGTCAGACCCCCCCTACAACCGCTTCCACCTCAAGCTCCCTCTCCGCACCTGACTCCTACCCTCTCCCCCCCCCCCACCACCCTTCACCCCCCCACCTCTCCTCCCACCCCCCCCGCGCGCTCATGCGGCAGCTGCTCATCATAGCAGCATGCTACGTGCGCAAGAAGATCTTCGCAGCGTTTGGGCACGGCATGTGTCCGCCGCGCATCCGGGAGGCGTGTGTGGGGGAGGCGGGCCTCGCGCTGCACTATGCCAACGTGGTGGTGCTGCTGGAACGGATCATACAACAGCCGGACGAAGTGCTAGGGCCTACAAGGTGCGATAGGGCTCAGACATACCCGGGTAGGGCTGTATGGCATGCCATGACTTGGTTGGTTGGCATGGTGGTGCTATCAGCTCGCGCTGCACTATGCCAACGTGGTGGTGAACGAATCATCTAGCAACCGGATGAAGTGCTGGGACCCACCAGGTAAGGGAATGGCATGGCGTGGTATGGCATGGCATGCTGGCATCACGTGCCCTTGTGTGCAGCTGCAGGACGCACTCAACTTCAACCCCTCCTTGTTCCTGCCCCACTCCCTCTGCCCGCCCTTACCCTCGCTCTTCCCCACGTTGCGTGCAGGGACGAGCTGTACGAGATGCTGCGCGTGCAGCTGCAGGGCGCACTCAACTTCACCTCCTTGTTTCCCCCATTTCCCCTTCCAAACTCCCTCTCGCCTAACCCCCTCCCTCTGCTACACGCAGGGACGAGCTGTACGAGATGCTGCCGCGTAACATCCAGTACCTGCTGCACGTGCAGCTGCAGGACGCTCTCAACTTCACGCCGTCCCCCACTCCCTTCCCCCCCCCTTCTCTCCCCTAATGGTGCAGGGACGAGCTCTATGAAATGCTTCCGCGCAACATACAGTACCTGCTGCGCGTGCAGCTGCAGGATTCACTCAACTTCCAGGCGGATGGGCGAGTGGAGGCGAATCTCAAGCGCGGGCTGCTGCTGCTGCCCACCATGGCGCACAACACCATCACCTGGCACTCGCTGCACACCCCTGGAGCTGCTCTTGACTCCTCTGAGACAGTGTTTCAAGTGCAGGTGGGTGGTTCGAGGCTGGGTGTGCCAGGTGTATGGCTATGATTCACGAATTCCCTTGCACTGCTGCTGCTGCCCACCATGGCGCACAACACCATCACCTGGCACTCGCTGCACACCCCTGGAGCTGCTCTTGACTCCTCTGAGACAGTGTTTCAAGTGCAGGTGGGTGGTTCGAGGCTGGGTGTGCCAGGTGTATGGCTATGATTCACGAATTCCCTTGCACTGCTGCTGCTGCCCACCATGGCGCGCAACACCATCACCTGGCACTCGCTGCACAGCCGGGGGCCTCCCTTGACTCCTTGGAGACGGTTTTCCAAGTGCAGGTGGGTGGATCCGCCACTCGCTGCTGATATGCACTGCTTGCACCCCTGATGCTGCTTTTGCTGCTGCTGCTGCTGCTGCTGCTGCTGCTGCTGCTGCTGCTGCTGCTGCTGCTGATCAATTAGAAGTGCCTCATTCCCCACTCACATCCCTCCCCACTCACATCCCTCCCCACTCACATCCCTCCCCACTCACATCCCTCCCATCCCGCCCGTTCCCTCCCGTTCCCTCCCTTCCCACCACCCAGACCTTCTATTTCACGAATGTGCAGGCGGTAAACGCCACACTAGTGGACGTGCGCCTCCTGGGCCTGTGCCGCATCTGCGGAGTGGAGTCGCCCATTGGCTGTGCCTCCACACAGCTGTGAGAGTGAGACGTCTCATCCCCTCTGTGACCCTCTGTCTCTTCCCCCGCCCATTACCCTCCAGACGTTCTACTTTGCGAATCTGCAGGCAGTGAACGCCACTCTAGTGGACGTGCTCCTGGGCCTGTGCCGCATCTGCGGCGTGGAGTCCCCTATAGGCTGTGTGTCCACGCAGGTGCCGGCCTCCCTCGACTACTCCCAGCTCGTGGCAGAGAAGGTGGCGGAGGCGGAGCGCCAGTTCCGCAAGGCGTGTGGCATGGATGAGAGGGACGAGGACTGGTTTGGGGGGGAGGTCACCAAGGTGCATGATGACTCGTGCCAGGCTAGACGCGCGCAAACGCCGAGGGGTGGTGAGGCGGCTCCAGTAGCTTCAGCAGTGTCAGTAGTTTCAGCAGCTTCGGGCAGTGTTGTGCGGGAAAAGGGCTTGCAGTGCAATCGACCACACACGCCCGCGCCCACTGCTGCTACTGTCTCCGCCTCTTCTACATCGTTTGCTGCCACTGCCGCTGCCAACGCTGCTGCTGCTGCCTCTGCTGCTGCCGAACTTGGTGCCAGTGGTTCTGCTGCTGCTGCTTGCTCCAGTGGAGAAGGAGAGGGCAGCAGGGGCACAAGCACGGCCACTAACATGAATATACACAAGAGCAGCAGCACAGGCAGTGCTGGTGGCGGCGGTGGTGTGAATGGCGGCAGTGACAGCACAGGCAGCCCTGCCTTCGTGACTCCCCCCGAGTCCCCTGCCAGCGCCGTTTCCCTGCCCTCTGCCATCCCTGTGTCTCGCTCTGAAGGTGGGGGGGTGGAGAGGAAGGGGGGTGCTGGGAGGAGGGAGAGGGGGAGGACGGGTGGTAGGGACGGGGAGGAGCAGAGTCAGAGCCTGGAGGAGAGGGGTGGAGAGAAGGCGGGGAGTGGGGAGGAGTTGGGTGAAGCGGAGAAGGGTGGGAAGAGCAGGGCAGGAGGCAGTAGGGCTAAGAAGAGCAGCCAGGGCGAAAGGTCCAGCAGCAGCGGTAGTGGCAGTGGTAGTGGCAGCGGTAGTGGCAGTGGTAGTGGTAAAGTGAGAGGCAGAAGCAAGCTGCAGGAGAAGGAGCTTCCACGAGCCCACACGGCGCCTACTGCTGAAACAGCAGCAGCAGCGGTGCTTGATGTACGAGATAGTGGCGGTGACGGCGGTGGATCCCCTTCCAGAGTCCCCACCAAGCCCTCCTCTGGCCGCCCCACGAGATCCAGACCCAGTAGTAGCCGGTTCAAGGGGACAGATGCGTCTGGTTCTGCTGCTGCTGCTGGTGGTGGTGTTGGTGGTGTTGGTCCTTCTGGTTCCTCCTCCTCCTCCCCCTCTCGTCTCCCCACGCCTCCCCCTCCGGCCACCTACTCCCGACCGCGCATCCCCTCCTCTCGATCAGACAGCTCCTTCCTGCAGCAGCAGGGGGGCGGAGGGCGGAGAGGGAAAGAGAGCATGCGAAACAGCGGCGGTGGGGTGTGTAAGAGCCAGAGCTGCAGCCCACAGGCAGACAGGCTCGTGGTTGCTTCCTGTGCTTCCTCCTCTCCTGGCCGTCCCTCCCCTGGCCGGCTCTCCCCAAGTGACGCCTCCCCCAGTCGAGCCTCCCCCAGTCGAGCCTCCCCTGGTCGCGGCTCCCCCGGGCAAGCCTCTGGGTGCTTCTCCCCTCAGGGCCTCCCGTTCCTCTCCCCCGCTGGTACCCCCTCCCCTGCTGACTCCCCCCGCTCGTCCCGACTGGGGCGGGGGGAGGCAAGGGGGAACGTGGGGGAAGGATTGGGGGAAGGAGAGGCCAGAGGGGAGGGGCGGGGGGCAAGAGAGGCGACTGGGGAGGTATTGGGCGGAAGAGGGGCCACTGGGGATGGGCAGGGGGAAGGAGAGCAGGAGAGGGAGACACAGGGGGGGGCAGAGTTAGAGGCGGCCACAGGGGAAGCGAGGAAACGGAGCAGCAGGAGCAGTAAGAGTGGTAGTGGCAGACAAAGACGCGGCGAGTCCGGGGGAGGTGATCAGGAGCGGAGCAGCAGCATCAAGATCACCAACAGTGGAAGCAGCAGCAGGAGGGGCAGCAGCAGGCAGGGCAACACCAGCAGCAGTGCTGCTGCAAACCCTAAATCCGTCCCTCCATCCTCCTCGGCCTTTTCCTCCACGTTCTCCTCCTCATCCATCCCTGGCTCTTCCTCCGCCGCCTCTTCTGTCGCCCGGCAAGTCAGCACAGACTCATTCATTTCCACAGACACAACCGACCCCCACTCCTCCTCCTCCTTCACCTCCTCTGCGCTCTCCTCCGCACTCTCCTCCCTGCCCTCCTCCATTCCCTCAATCCCCTCCTCCGCTTCCTCCTCCTCCTCGTCCTCTCGAGGCTGGGGGTCGCAGCGGTGGGGCTTTGGCAAGTCTAGATCCATGCGAGTGACCACAGCTCCCCCCGCCACGCCTCCTCGCCCCTCCACCCCTCCCCCCAGCAGCTTCTCTTCCGATCCCATGCTTGCTGCTGGTGCCACTGATTGGGATACCGAAAGCCCTGCTGTTGCCAGGGTTGACGGGAGCCTTTCACTGGATCATTCCCTCTCCTCCTCTCTGCTCTCCCCCTCGCTGCTGGAAACCAGGCGACTACGCAAAGCCATGCAGGGAGGGGCGATTGTGGGGTGTTTCACCGGGGGTGGGGCAGCAGCAGCTTTGGACAGTGAGTCAGAGGCGGAAGGGGGACGGAGGGCGAGGGGAGGCTCTAGGCCTGGTACAGGCAGGTCTAGCGGGAGGGTGAAGGGCGAGCGAGTGAGTGGGGGAAGGGTGAGTGGAAGAGCAAGTGGTGAATCAGGTGGCTCAGGGCGACGATCGAAGCTGCTTGGGGGTAGCAGCAGGGAGAATGTCAAGGGCAGTGGGGATGGGAGCGGGAGACGGAGTGGTGGTGCTGATGCTGAGGGAGCGACCAGCAGCAGCACTCCGAGAAAGACCAAGCATTTCTACTCCCAGCCAATGCCGCAGCGTGCGCAGTGGAATGAGCAGATGGGGGTTGCAACGGAGGCTGACGGGGCCTCGTAAGCACAATGTATACGGTACATCCACATACACTATTATATCAAGGTGCTAATTTTATTGATTTGTTCTTACCGTATCATGCCTAACAGAATTTGCCAGCTGTGGCCTTGCTGTAAGCCTATTGCTGATCTTATCTATTTATTCTTGACACGGTTATGAGTGTTATAAACGAGCAAAATGGTGAACACTGATTAGTGTTATAAAGCCCGTAGCTAAAATAGTGACCCCCCCCTTCTAGTTGGGCCCAACTTGATTACTGAAGTCTTTTTGTATTGTTTTGTTACGTTTGAAGTGCTGTGTGTGTTTTTTTTTTCAACCTTCATACGAGTTTCGTAGTGGACCACGAACGAAAGTTCTTTCTCAATTCTGATTGGCAGCTAGAATATCTCACATGTACGTGTGCGAATTTGGCGCAAAGTTGAGCGACGTGCACTCCTGCATTTACTAGAGCCGATACTTCACCAATTTCACATCCATCAACATCTCGCTCTAAATCCCAACCAGACACACTTGATGAGAGCCACATACTTCACCAAATTCGCATCTAGCAATGTGCTGCCTTGGACTTGGGGCCTGTGAGACAACAATAACGGAGAATGGAGGAAAATGATGAAGGGCAAGGTGATGCGAATGAAGAGAAAGAGGGTGATGGGAGAGAGAGGAACGGTGCGCTGGCGACGAAGTGGAAGGCCATGGGAGGGCAGGGGAGAGAGGAAGGGAAGGGGAGAAAGTGGGGCGACGGTAAGGGAGATCGTGGCGACGGCGAGGGGAAGGGAAGCCTCCCTTCCCTGAGGGAGATCGTGAGGGCGACGGGAGGAACGGGGGACATTCATCGTGAGGCGATGGGAAGTGAGATCGTGGGGGCGTCGGGAAACGTGAGGGCGACGGGATGGGAGAGCAGATCGCGAAGGCGATCTGAATGGAGGGCGAAAGGAAACAGGAGGGCAAGGGGATGGGAGAGCAGATCGCGAAGGCGATCTGAACGGAGGGCGACGGGAACGGGAGGGCGACGGGAGGAAAGGGAGGGCGAGGGCGAGCGGAAAGGGTGAGAGATGCCGATGGCGAGGGGACGAGAAACGGGAGGGCGACGAGATGGGAGAGAGGAAGGGCGTAGAGATGGGAGAAAGGAAGGGCGTAGAGATGGGAGAGAGGAAGGGCGTAGAGATGGGAGAAAGGAAGGGCGTAGAGATGGGAGAGAGGAAGGGCGTAGAGATGGGAGAAAGGAAGGGCGTAGAGATGGGAGAAAGGAAGGGCGTAGAGATGGGAGAAAGGAAGGGCGTAGAGATGGGAGAGAGGAAGGGCGACAGAAGGACGAGACGGAATGGAAATCAGATCTCATGCATACATCATCGGTGCCATGAAGCTTATGCGCGGTGCGTGCAGTCAGATCTGGAATAATTGAATACGGATATGGGAGCGAAAAATCAGACGAACCCAATGGTGGAAAGTGTGGCTAAAAGAACATTCGAGTCGATGTTGAACAGGCTAATGCTTCTCGCACAGCAACATTCAGGGGAGAGAGCAACAGAGCGATGAGAGCAATGAACAGTGAAGTGATGTGTTAACGACGAAGCGATGAGACCGATCAGCGTCAAAGCGATGAGCGCCTTGACGTCGCTACATGTTCGTTGAAAGCTGAACGTCAAGGAACATAAATCGTCAAGGCACTATTTTGTTGAGTTGCGGAATGTGCCTCTTCTTCAGATTCTATTCTACCGCCGCACAGTACCTCCTCAAAATGGCTGCTACCGGTATTGGTGTTGATCTTCGTTGCGTCTCCTATGCTTCTGTCCAGAGTGACATCAAGAACGGCGTTGTTACCGTTCCTGCATACTTCAGCGCCTCGCAACAAGTCACGTACTACTATATTACGCACCCAAGCTAAGTCCCTACATGCCACTATCAAACTCAGTCTACAAATGGCGTGCCTAGGGCGCAAGTGACTACTATTTCAGCTAAACTGAGGAAAGAAAGTAGCGACTACGGGATGAGAAAAGGGAGTTGTGAACCCAGTTCCAGCTTGATTCTGAAGTTCGCCGGGCGACCAAAACGATCGCTTTGCATCGGTCGTGAGGGTGCAGCACGTAGACGTGCGACGGTTGACATGAGCCCCAAAATTCATTTGGCGGGAGCCAACAAAATTCTCATGTTGGCGATAGCCAATCAGAACAATTCAACCTGACCTTTTCGGTTGTTTGAATCAGTGTTGTATAAGCACAATCCCTAGAGCTTTTCGCAGGGCTATTTCAAACTGGGACGGGGGTCACTATTTTGCCTGCTGGCTATAAGCTGTAGGTAGGCAGGTGCTGTGGACTTGCTGTGCTGCGAACCTCCATTCATCTCACCATAAACTCCTACCGAAGGCCTCGATACATAAACATGCACGGAACATTGCTTAGAACAGTTTTAAAGCGACGGTGTACATTTGCCACCCAAAACCCAGAACCCTGGCGAACTGTTACTGCGGATGGAAAGTGTCCGCACGAAATCCTGGTTTTCGCCAGCCAGCACTTTCGCGCTGGCAAGCCTGGTTCAAAAAAAAAACTTCTGAACCCAACACTGCCAAAAGTTGCCCGTCGCTTTAACCACTTTCAGTCACAAAATAACATCCCTGTAGTGATAACTGTGCTGGTCATATGCATAACCCATAAGCCATACCTTTTCCCCGTCCCCTCCGGCTTTCCCCCTTCCCCTTTCCCTCTACCAGATCCCCAGAAACTTCCACCACAGGCCACCCACGCCGAGCCAAATCACCAGATTGACAATGCTGCAGATAAACCCGTAGAACCACCAATCATTGAGCGACACATACCCCGACCCGTAAAACGGCGGGCCGGACCCAATCCCATAGTGCGTGATCCCACCCATGAGGTTCGACATGAACGAGAGGACCATGGCAGCGAGCAGAGGAGGCGTGCCGAGAGCAGAGGCGACGGAGATGAAGGCAACGAACATGGCTCCGATGTGTGCGGCACCGGAAGCGAAGAAGTAGTGGGAGTAGAAGTAGAGGATGACGAGGAGACCGAAGGCTGGCTGCCATGCCAGCCCCATGGAGGAGACGAGCTGGAAGGTGGGGTTGGTTGGGGACAAGGGGTGGGGCAAAGGAAAGGGGTAAGGAGACAAAAAAGTAGTCTGAGTAGAAATAGAGGATGACGAGCAGGCCAAAGGCTGGCTGCCAGGCGAGACCCATGGAGGAGACGAGCTGAAGAGTGGGGGTGTGTGTTGGGGGGGGGGGGGGGGGTGTGGGAGGAAGGGAGAGGGGGAGGGTAATGATGATGAGTGGAGGGACTATGGCAACCATCCGAGCAGGGATGTTCATGCAAACTTGGTGAGCAGAGCTAGGAGGCTGGGAAGCGATCAAAAGAGTGTGTGCCTTGCTTCCCTCCCTCCCTCCCACCTGGTCTTACACGCTCCTTTTGTCTCTCATTGTAGCCACTCACATTGACAACGGTCTGGCTGAACCAAGCAATGAGCCCGTATTTGTTGAGATAGTTGGCCATGGCGATGAGAGCAGCAAACCACGTGAGTGTGTCCCACGCCACGCCCTCGCCCAGGCACTCCTTCCACGTCACCACGCCCGTGATCAGCAGCGCGCTGAGCCCCATGATGGCTGCCGTTACCGCGTCAACGCCCAACACGCCGCCGCACACCCACAGTCCCACCTGCGGATGGGGAAAAAAAGGAGGGAGAAAGGGTAAAGGGTTGGGAAGGAGAACCGGAGAGGTGGTCGTTCAGAAATCCTAGAAAACTTACACACAGAGGAGACGGATCCTCAGTGCACAAGCAGGTTTAGTTTCTCGCCCTGACTATCTCTAATTAGTGCCTAATGGTCTCCTCAGAGCCTTGATGCATTTCACCTGACTACACGGCACTGCACCACTATGAACACATACGCACCGTGCCAACGAACAAGCCCGCCATGATCTTCTCATTCGTGCTCATCGGCCCCATGGCCGGGAGCTTTTGGTTTGGCCGGCTGCATGCCACGCAGCCTGATACAGTTCACCGGATTACATCGCACTATACCACACAACACTCCTACGTACCGTGCCAACCAGCACGCCCGCCATGATCTTCTCATTAGTGCTCATCGGCCCCATGGCTGCGAGCTTCTCGCGCGCGAGCTTAGGCGCGTCGGGGCTGGCCTTAATCTCCGGCGGGTAGATGACGTAGAGCAGCGCGGGAACGACGGCGAGCGAGATGAGTCCGGGCACCAGCGCCGCCTTGGCCCACTCCGTCCAGCCGATCGTGTGGCCGATGGCGCCCGCTGCGAGATTCACGGCGAGCGGGTTCGCCGCCATGCCGGTGAGGAACATGGCTGACGACACGATGGACGTCTGGGGGAGGGGAAGAGGGAGAAGGGGGGGGGGGGGGGGTAAGGGGAAAGGTAAGCAGATGCTATGAATGGAGCACCGTAAACGAGCGGGTTCGCCGTTATGCCAGTCAGGAACAGGAGACTATGGACGCCGGGAGGAGGCGCGGGGGAAGTTGGGCGGGGGAACGGGGGAAGAGGAAGGGCGGTTGCGGGAGGGGGAAGGATGAAGGGGAAGGGAAGTGGGGGATGGGAGGTGAAAGGGGGAGGAGAGGCCCGGGAATGCTGGGTTCTCCTCCCCATTTCACCTCCCATCGTGTTGGTTAAAATGTACGTGTATGAACATTGTACGTGGGGGAAAGGTGAAAGGGGGAGGAATGCTGGGAAGAAAGGATTCTTACACGTACATTTTAAACAGCACGGATGGAGGAAGCTACCTGGAAGCAGGTGAGCACGTGCCACGCGCCGAGCTTCTTTTCGGTGCCGTCGTCCGTGCGGCTTCCGCACGCCCATTGAGACGGTTCAATCAAACAAGGCATCTGGTGAACCCACCTGGAAGCACGTCAACACGAGCCATGCTCCGAGCTTCTTTTCGGTGCCGTCGTCCGTGCGGCTTCCGCACGCCTGGCACAGCGCCTTGAGCAGCGGAAGGAAGATCCCGCCCGCGCGCGCGGAGACCGAGGGGATGGCGGGCGCGAGCATGGCCTCCGAGAGCACGAGGCTGTAACCCAGGCCGAGCGACGTGCTGCCGAAAGCGGCGACGAACTGGTAACCAACGCGGTTGCCGAGACCCGTGTTGATGAAGCCCTTGGCGAAAAAAAATGCGAGCGCGATGAGCCACGGGATGGGATCGCCGAAGGAGCTGCGGAAGTGGGGGGGGGTGGGGGGGGGGGGGGAGGGGGGTGTGAGAGGGGGGAAGGTTGGGGGGAAAGAAGAATGCGAGCGCGATGGGCAACGGGATGGGATCGCCGAAAGAGCTGCGGAATGTCGGGGTGGGAGAGGGGGGGGGGAGGGGAAGAGGAAGGGGGAAGTAGAATGGGGAAGTGTGATGAATCAAACGATTGGATCGCCGAAGGAGTGGGGGAAGGGACGGGGGGAGTGGGTGGAAAAGAGGAAGGGTGGAACGAAGCGGGAGGTGGGGGAGGGGGGCGGGGAAAGGGAGGTTAAGGGGTACATTTTCGTAAATAAGTACGCGCAAGCGACGAGTGCTATAAGCCAACAATGATACAGGGCTACACGGTTAAAAAGCCGCTCTAATACAATGTCTACGAATGTTACAGTGTTACACAATGTTACCTGAAAGCAGCAGCGAAGGTGAGCGTCTTCGTGAGCACGCTCACGCCCAGACCCATGAGCGCAACCGCTCCCAGCGGCAACGGCTGGGCGGAACAGAGGGGGGAGAGGGGGGAGGAGGGGGAAAGGGGGAAGGGCGAGGGAAGAGGAGGGAAAAGTGAAGACATTGCATAAATGTGTGCACATAGTATGTATTACAGCGTTGAATGTTTTGAAGTAGGTCTGCCAGGCGTTTCGTACAAGCTTGGGTGGATGGCTGCCCCTTTTCATTCACAGCGAAAGCGCACAATATTGCGGCAGAAGCGGACGTTCCTGCTATAGAAGGCACATTGCGGCGCGAGCGCGCATCGCGGCGAGAGTGCACATTGCGGCGAGAGAGCGCATCACGGCGAGAGCGCACATTGCGGCGAGAGAGCGCATCGCGGCGAGAGCGCACATTGCGGCAAGAGAGCACGATGCAGCGTGTGGGCATACCTGAGTGATGATGCCGATGATCGTGGCGAGGAAGATCGCCAGAAGCTGCCACGCGTTAGCCGCGACGCCTTCGGGTCGCGGGCAGTACCACATCGCGACGCCCGTCGCCACCGATATTCCCAGCGTCTTCATGTTCGCGCCCTTCCATGGAGCCGCCACTGGCGCCGCCTTCACCGGCACTGGCGCCGGCGCCGGCACACCTTCCCCGCCGTCGCCCGCCGCTGCGGAGATGACGGCGCGGCGCTTCTGGCGGCGGTTGCGGATCGCGGAGGAAGGAGAGGTTGCGATCGGCGAGGCTGCGACGATCGCGGCATGCGACTGGAGGTACGCGCTGGCCGCGACGGGCCGGCCATAGATCGACGATTTTAGATGCGACGGCTGCGACGAGGAGGACTTCGCCAGTCGCGTGCGCGACGCGCTGGCGACAGCCGCATGGCAATGCGGCTGGATCACCGCCGTCGCCATGCTGCAACAGAGGAGACTTCACAAGCACAAGTGGCGTCCAAGGCGCAGACTTTCTAACGTATGCGCGACCCTAACAAGGTTTCTGACAGTACAAACCAAAATGGACCAGTTTTGCCGCAAAATGCCTATTTTCTGCAGATTTCTGGTGTCTCGTGCTGATCCCGCCTTGAATGCTCGTGAGGGCGAAATGTGATGTGTGTGAGTCAGGTCGGGGCGGAGCGGAGACTCCCCTCCCCGCTGAAGCCCAAGCTCTCTGCCCTTCTGCTCCGCTGTGGTGGCGGGGCGCAGGTAGGCGCAGCTTGGGAGAGCGAGCAGGCGGACCTAGGGAGACCAGACCAGACCAGACCTTCGGCGGGTTGTCAGGGGGAAATCTGTATTGATGTGGTCACGGTGGCGCTGACCTTGTTCCGCCTGCCTCCCCCGAGAAGCTGCGCACGCGACCGCGCATTCGTCACTGTGCACCTGATGCCCGTTTGAGTCCCCCCTACTTGGCTTGTGCTCTGGGCTTAAAAACGTTTTGAGCATTTCGCCCAGTTCTTTCCATTTCGCCAGGGTGTTGAGGTGCTTCTAAAAAACACAGGTTGTAACTCATTTTTTTTTCCAAAACAGTTCTGGTGGGCCTGTGTTGTTAGTTCAGGGTTTCGGGTTTATGCTTGTTTCTGGCCAAGAAACAAGAACAAACCGGGTCAGCATGGTTTGTTTTGCGCCTAAGATTCATACTTTGGCGTTTTCTCGCCCAAATGCAAGTTGATCCGCGTGCCTATAACCTGGATGCAACTGACTGGAAAAAAAATACGGGTGCAGAGTTTCTGAAATAGGCAAAGCAAATTCGCGCGCAGTGGCTGGGCATCATGTGTAGTGGCGCAGGAGTTTATTCGCGTGATGTGTGTTTGGTGTTGATGGGTGCGCCGCCGTGGTTCCCGCCCTCTACGTGGCGGTCGATATGAGCTGTGAGTGGTCGTAAATTGCGCGGATCTTGGAGTTTGAGCTGGCGGAGACCTACGTGGCAGTTTTCCAAAGGGGAGTTCGAATTGGCTGCTTCACTGAAGCAAACCTGATGACTCGCTTTTGCTTTCTCCCCTCTTTGTCATTCAATGCAGAAGTCAGAACAGAGAGGGCGATGAAATGCAATTCTTACATTGATAAAAAACACATTACTGCGTCAGTATTTTACAAGGATGAAAGCTTAGTTCCACTAATTTACTATTTCTCCTGTAACCTATAGAACACCTAAGTCAACACTATATGCAATTAATTGTGATGATGCTTCCGCAGCGCAGCAATCACACCGTGGCCTTTCACCGCCACGGGAAAACACGCACCGCGTGGCGCTCGACAAGCCACTCTCATCATGCACCCCCGGAATTGCGGGCTCAGCTGCAGTCCCTCCTCACAGTCACTCTCTACCTCCAAGCAGTCCTCCCCACATGCGTAATCTTCATCACCCTCCACCAAACTCGCCACGTTAGCAATGTCCAAAGATTTTCTCGCGGCGGCCTTCTCTTTGTCCGAGCCCCGCAGGCTCTCCCATTCCAAGCTCCGCCTCCCCGAAATCAGTCCGCTCCTGGTGCTGCCCCCCGAGCTGCTAGTTCCGCTGCTTTGCGCCAGGCTGCTGCTTCCGCTGCTCGACCGCCGGCTGCGCCGCCACCTGCCCAGCCGGAGGGGGGACTCCGACCGCGAGGACGCGCGGGACGAGCTCGCGGAATTGTTTCCGGAATTTCCCGCGCTGCTAGTGGCGCAGACACTGGCGGCTCTGCTTCCCGCAGGCGCAGCAGCAGAGTCCGCGGCTCCGCTGGCGCAGGCGGTGGTTGCCGCGGAGGCGGATGACCTGTCCGCACCGGAGCTATTCTCCGCTGCGCCGTTGACTTCGCGCTGACAGCGTAGCACCGCGACTCGGCGGTGCGTTTCCAGGATTTGCAGCTCTACCTCGAGTAGCTTCAATCGCGCGGAAATCTCGGACGCCGTTATTCCCGCGTCGGGGGATTGCTCATCGCCTTCCCTGTCCTCATCCCACTCCTCTTCCCCCTCATCATCCTCATTTCCTCGAAATTGCGAGGCAACGTTCCGATCAGGTACGGACGGGCAGCTGGCCTGCCCTTTGAGAAACCTCGAGCTTCCGTGAATTGCGCCCGTGCACGGCTGGGGACCGCTGTGGGAGTTGGGCGGACAGTCCGCTCCCGCGCGGAGGCCCAACAGCAGCACTTGCGGGTCATGGTACCCGCCGTTACAATAAGGAGGCGCACTGTAACGGGTCCCCCCAGTGCTCGTACGCGAAATGTCGATGTCCCAGATTTCGTCGTCGTAATCGTCGTCGTCGTCGTCGCAGACGGCGTCGCCAGCCGGGATCCACTCGATAGGTCTCGGCGGCTCGGCGCCGATCTCTTCGCTTTCGGGGTCGGGGATCTGGACCGTTAGGCTGCGGCGCGGCATAGAGGGAATTTCCTCGAAAGCATGGTCGGACATTGGCGAAAGGTTCGGCTGAGGAGGGCGGTGGGGGCTCCGGAGAGGAGCTGCTCGGGGAACGGCTACCATTGCGGCCATTGACGGGTAAAATCGCTCTGCTAAGGTGCGACGGTAAAGTTGCGGCAAGCTCAGAAATAGAAATCAGATTGAAAGCGGCCGATCGCCGATATGGTTTTATGGAAAGTTGAGACGACCGGGAATTGGAGGATATGTGATAGCTCGTGGGTGGACAACGAGAGGCAAGTAATGTGAGCTGGGGCATCGAGGCTGCACACGTTTGGCGGCGTGTTGTGTTGTATTCACGATGTTTTGTCCTGGCTGAGTAAGTAGAGAGAAATGGTGCGACAACGTGCTTTGAGTTGAGTAAACCGTCCACGTAATGGACTGGAAGGATAGGCAGGTGACAGTCTTCAATTAGGGCATGGATGCGATTGCCATAACGTGGTGAAAGCAGCTCAAATCTCCACAATACAGTGAGCACAAGACCTGTGCAGCGTCTGTATCACCCGCCTGTCAACCACCGCACATGCTTCGAGGAATGGGTTTGGTGGACAGAAGGCGAGGGCAGGGCTGTGATGTGAGCACGCGCTTCGAATGGAAAATGAAGCCAAAGTCAGACAACGGGAAGAAATTGGACAGGCAGACACTGGAATTCGGGGCGGATTTTGGGGTACAGTGTTAGGGGCACCCACCCGAAACGCCCCCAACCGGGTGAATGATTTGGTACTCGAAACGCTCCTAGTACTGGAAGGATCAACTGAGCAGACACCCTGAACTCCACGGGCTAAATAGTTGTCTGATAGAATGCTTGTACCACACCAAGTTCTGGGACCCTGTCCACAGCGGCTCGTGCGTCGGTACCTGATTTGCAGAACTCGCCAGCCGGGATCCACTAGAAGAGTTTTGTACCTTCGTCCTCGTAGTTGAAATACTAGAAGAGTTTTTACATGGAATACCAAAAGCCACGTGAACTGTACACGATTGTACAGCTGCATCCGGGCTTTCCCCTGATCTAGGTCTCCTCCATCCACAGCATATGCGCAAACAAGATTGTTGCGCCAGCAGCTGCACAGCATGTCCGCGAGCATATGCTTGTTCCGCGTGCCGCAAAGCAAACCGCCTGCGGCGAACTCGAATGGTTGATTGGAGCCTTCGGCGCGTCATAAATACTGTACGCGCAGTTGACATAGGAACAAGATTATGGCTACAGTGCAACCGCACAGCGAACAATGCGAACGCAAAAATGTACGAGCACAGTGATTCTCATCGGTGGTATTTCCACTAAATTTCTACTAGAAGCGGAAATCTTGGTACTTCAGCCTCTAAACGTTGTAACTGATGTGAGATTCTTTCAGTCGGCCCTGCCAGAATCTAAACACACATTGACACACTCTTAACACTCAAAACACCAAATGTTAAAGGGTTCCACGCCGTAGAAAACAAATGCGGCGACTGCATGATTAGTAACGACCACCCGCTAGCTCAAATGGAGTTGTTGCTCGAGATGTCCTGTCCTGAATCTCAAGACTTCAAGAATCTAGAAGGATGCAGCATGCGCGCCAAAGCAGGCCAGCGGCCATCAGCAAGCAACAGTGAATCTGAGACAAACCAGGTGGCCAAGGGGGTCAGAATTTAAAACGGGCAACGGGAAGAAGGTGGGCGAGAAGCACCTTCACGTAGCCCAATCTACACTTGTTCAAAGATGTCTACAAGATCGAGGTTCCGCCAATCAGTTTCCATGGTTCCAAGGGCAGCTGTGAGAGCATCAAGCCTCACCGACGGTTGAAGGTTGGCTGGTGGTAAGGACTGGCATGGCAACTTTCCACGTTGGAAAGGATCCACTGGGAAGGTGAGGCGGTTAGGTGGCACACGGAGGACCTCGTGCTCTCATGTGATCAAAATTTTGTTTGATGCGATTGGGTTCACCGTTTTCAGACTGGACTACACTTGGCTCTTCTAGTGTCTTCAAATCCGGCAGCCAAACCATATTTTTGTTGAAGTATGCATAGTGTGATGTCAATGTGTTATATGAATACTAAGACATCAAAACCTTGGTTTGGAGTCCAAAAGCAGGAAAAATGCTGCTGGATGGACTTGTTAATTGCTCGATGGTATCTTATTTTTTCAGCAACAAACTCACAGCTACATAACTGCATAAGACATCTCAACTGGCTCTATGGAGCAACGAGCTCCGCACAATGCATATGCTATACCTAGCTGATGTAAAACCAGTGGGGCACTTCTCGAGGGGTGGAGGGGGGCCACTGAGGGCAGCAGCATGGCTCGACCTTGCAAAGGTTGAATGTATAAATTAGATCTAGCTTGTGTGGACCTGGTACTGTGCTTTTGAAGGGATGGAGGAGCATACTGAATAACGCACGGCTCCAACAGTTGGCTGAGCAGCATGCAGCCTGCAAACAAAACATTGCATGGATGAATTAGTTTAGAATGTAGTCCATGTGTGTGTATTCTTGAGGGTCTGAAAGCTGGAACTAAGGGACTTGACCCCGAAAAGGCTTTGGCAGGGAACACATGTACACATAGGAAAGCAGGCGCTGAACACGTAAAGCACGGCAGGAAAGGGTGCAACGGGACAGAGATGCGATCCCAATTAGGGTGAGTATTCCAGAATACAGCACGAGAGGTTTGCAATGAGACACACAGATTCACCTGTGTGAGGGCTAAATACGAGAGGCAGGGCACACACTTGTGCAAGGCCGATGCATGAGGAGAGAGGCGGCACATGAGAGAGCTGGGCTGCTGTAGATTTTGAGTTGATTCAAGGCGTATCTCGGTCGACCCTAAACACACGTTGCACATACAGACCAGTACAAAGGCTACGTACGAGGAGATGCGGCGAATGAGAGAGCTGGGCTGAGACTTGGTCATCGTGAGCGCCCGCGTAAGCAGCACAGCTGGATCCTCTGCGACACAACAAGGCAGGAAAGAGGGCAGTCAAGCAGGGAGGGGAGGGAGAACAACTTCTGATACAACAGCGAGATCCCTTGTGTGTGATACACGGCAGGAAAAGCAGCGGTGGGGAGAAGAACGAGGACCAGGACAGGTCTGGAGAGACCTTAGAAGGCGCATACGTGAGTGGGTTGGGAAAAAGACAGTGGGGTGCTCTGTGATACCAGGCAGGAAACGGTGGGTTGAGGTTAAATCTTGAGGCGTCTCAAGAGGCGCTCGAGCGAGCAAGAGGGAGGGATCCTCTGCATATTGGAATGAAAAGGCTAGCATCTGTAGGACAAGGCAGGAAAGGGGGGGAAGAATCATTGCGCGCCACCTTTGATTGGTCGGCCAGGCTGGCGCTGGAACTGCTTGGGCGGCGGAATGCAGATGGCGGCATCAATGTTGTCTGGCAGCCCTCTGTGCCGCCCGAGCAGCATCACGAGGATGAGTATTAGATTAGAGAGTACTGACCACGTGCCTGCAGGGTTGGGTTGAGGAAAGGCAGAGGAGGAGCAGGGTCACTGTCATTTTAAACAGCCCCTAGCATGTGTTGGCAGGGCTGATGAGAATAGAGCAGGAGGGAGAAGAGAGGAGCCATTATGAATCTCGAGAGCGCCTAGCACATACTTGCAGCATTGAGCGGAGGGGAAACGCGGAGCGGGAGCATGGTCAAGACAAGCACACGCACCCTTTAACATTGCCCCTTATCAGCATCACCTGCAGCAACACCATCAGCAACAGCAACAGCGTAGCAGCATCCCCAGCAGCAGCATGAGAAGATGTCAGGCAGTGCGCCTTCCTGAGAAGCTAGGGCGGAGCATGTACCCCAAGGTTCATCAGGTAGAAAATTCACCTGAAAGCTGTCAGGTGGAAAATCTACCTGAGAAGCTGTAGGGTGGAGCATCTGTGCAGTTGGGGTTGCTGGCGGGGCAGTTGTTTCCCAGAGACAGTCCCACGTTGCCGTAGGCACTACGGGTGATGGGATGGGGTGGATGGGGAAAGGGGACGATGGGGTGGGGAGAGTTGTGATTCGCCAAATATGGGCACTGCGCGGCGACGGGGTGGGGAGAAGTGGTACACTGAATCAATACATATTCCATCTTCTGATTCAATGCCTGATGCATTACCTAATGATCTCAAAGATCACTTTAAAGACGGTCCAGTTGCCTGGGTCTGAAGTGAAGTCGTTATTCTGAATGGCGCAGACGAGGAAGATGGAGACGAAAAGTAACAGCGAGTCCTGTGCCACCAGGTGCCGGCCCTGCGCCAGCACGGAGGAGTCGAGCACGCCCCCATGCAGGTCCTCTGCAAACACTGCCAGGTCGTCCCTGTCGTGCACATCGCGCTGCTCGCGGGAGGACTGGCATGTGAGGAACACGAGGTAGACTGCCACGTATCTGGGAGGGAGGTGGGGGCGGGAGGGGGGAGGAGGAAGGAGGGAGGAGTGGGGAGGGAGGAGAGGAGAGGGAGGAGGGAGGGGGGAAGTGAGGGATGGAGGCCCTAACTGGAGACCCCCACTTGTCTCCCTGCACGCCCCCATGCATGTCCTGTGCGAACACTGCAATGTCGTTCGTGTCCTGCACGTCCCGCTGCTCGCGGGATGAATGGCGCGTGAGGAACACGGGGTAGACTGCCACGTACATGGGAGGGAGGTGGGGGCGGGAGGGGGGAGGAGGAAGGAGGGAGGAGTGGGGAGGGAGGAGAGGAGAGGGAGGAGGGAGGGGGGAAGTGAGGGATGGAGGCCCTAGCTGGAGACCCCCACATGTCTCCCTGCACGCCTCCATGCATGTCCTGTGCGAACACTGCAATGTCGTCCTTGTCTTGCACGTCCCGCTGCTCGCGGGAGGACTGGCGTGTGAGGAACACCGGGTAGACCGCCACGTACCTGGGGGTTTGGTGAGGGAGGAGAGAGCAGCGTGTTGGGGGAAGCGAGAGCGAAGGACGGGCGAGTGAGAGACACAGACAGACCGTGCTGTCCGTGTGAAGTGGGTCTCATTCCGTCCCACTGCTCCCGGGAATCTATTTTCAAGGCACCGCAAATAAATATACAAGTAACAATGATGATGATGATGATGATGATGACGACGACGACGACGACGACGACGACGACGACGACGATGATGATAATAATAACAATAATACTAATAATAAAAAAGCCGCCCATGTTGAGCGAGTCTCCTCCCCCTGCTCTCGTTAGGACTGGAAGGTGAGACCGGATAGACCCGCCACGAGGGCGTGGGTTGGCTGGTAAGAGGTAGGTAGCTGAGGACGTTTGAGTCGCTTGGACAAACCCAACACCCCAGACTCACATGAAGCCAACAAAGAGGAAGTTAGAGGCAGCAGAGAGGTAGGAGACATTGATAATGGAGTAGCCAGCACTGCGCGTGCTCACAGACTGCATGCAGCTGTCACAGAAACGATACCCGCCTGGGACGTTTGGAATGGTGGTTTGGGTGGTGGTTGAAGGATAGGGGGGAGGAGAGGTAGGAGGGGGTGAGGATGACGAAGCACCCACTGTGTGTGCTCACAGACTGCATGCAGCTGTCAAAGAAACGGTAGCCGCCTGGGGGGGGACGGCAAGAGGGCATCACGAGGGAGAAAGGAAGGCGAGGATGATATGAGCGGGTGGTGTGGAAGAGGAGGCACGCATCCCCACCCCGGTGCTTTACGATAGCGTGCAGGCTTTGCTTACGGCCGAATGCAGCCTTTGACCTTTGAGACGTCTCAAAAGGCATGCAGGCTTTGCCTACGGCCGTATGCAGCCTTTGCGAAGAGGGTGTGCAAGGGAAGGGCCGCATTCCCAGGTGCTCTATGCCTACATGCACAAGCTCAGTGGTAAGTAAGCACAAGGCTCTTCATTCATACTCTGATGAACGTTTCTTTGAAAAGCCAAGCCTTTGGAGGAGGGGAGGCGCCTCAAAATTCGTCTTCTGGGCCGCCCGCCTCAAGAGTCAGGCCAAGCCACGTGCCCAGCAAAGGCGTGGGAGTTCCAGTCGAGGAGCATGAGGAAGAAGGCCCGAATGGATGTGAATGCTGAATCATGCTCACCAGCTGGTTTTTGAGAATTCTCAAAAACGAGCAGCAGTATATGGGAGTAGTGTTGAGAGCGCCTCTTTTTGAGTCGACTCAAAAGTGCCTCTCACCTCCGAGCCCGGCAAAGACCTGGGAGTTCCAGTCGAGAAGCATGAGGAAGAAGGCCTGGATGGAGGTGAAGGCGACAATGGTGAGCAGCAGCCAGAAGGTCTATCTGTTTGTGGAGGGGATGGAGAGGAGAGGCATGCCTTGCACTCACCTCCGAGCCCTGCAAAGGCTTGATAGTTCCAGTCGAGGAGCATGATAAAAAAAGGCTTGGATAAATGTGAAGCAGACAATGGTGAGCAGCAACCAGAGCTTCTGTTTAGGGAGACGCATACCTTGCACTCACCTCCGAGCCCTTCAAAGGCCTGTGAGTTCCAGTCGAGTAGCATGAGGAAGAAGGCCTGGATGGATGTGAAGGCGACGATTGTGAGCAGCAGCCAGAGCGTCTGCTTGTGTGGGAAGAGCTGCGTGTAGCACTTGCGCGGATGGTCCAACAGGTACTTGGTTATGTGCCTGATGGGGAGGGGGGGTGGGGAGATGTTGTTGAATTACTTTGGGATAGGTTTTGAGGGGTTGGGGGAGGAGGATGTTGTGGAAAAAGGTGAGCTGACTTTTGAGTCGACTCAAAAGTCAACAGGTTTTGTGGGGTTGGGGGAGGAGGATGTTGTGGAAAAAGGTGGGATTATTGAAGGGACAGATGAGCATGCCTACCAGCAGAAGCAGGCGGGCGCTACTATCTTTCCTCTTGTAGACTGTGCACTGCACACATACACAACCCACACCACAGCCAATACTCACCATCCGCTGCCGTCTCACTCACTCACCATTGGCTGCTGTCCTTCCCTGTGTGAAAGCAGTGTGTAGAACGGTGCAGAAGGGTGCAGAAGGGCGTAACGGAATGCAGAGGTGCGTGAGATGGGTCGTGCATGGAGGAGACTTGAGAGATGGAACCAAGTGGACTCAAAGCCATGCCGCATCTTGAGTGCAAGATCAAGCCACATTCGGGTATGTTTGTGTCACTTCTGAGAATTCTCAAAGGTGTCACGAACAAGCACAGGTACTTGCTTGTGAGGAGATCGTGGTATTCAGGCCACCACCAGGTGATGAGGATGAAGAGGATGAAGGCACCAAAGACGGTTCCGAAGTAATACGCCGGCACCAGCCAGCTCAGCAGCTCAAGGGCCCTGCGGAGTGGAAAGGGTGGTCCGAGATGGATAATGGTGGAACTGACAGCCTCTGAGGCGCCTCAGAGAAGTACACAGGCACCAGCCAGCTCAGCAGCTCCAGTGCCCTGCAGGATTGGGAGTGTTACGGGAAGGGGAGAGTGGAGAAGGGGAGAGTGGAGAGAAGAGAGGAGGAGAAGGGGAGAGGGGAAGTCTGGGAGAGGGGGAGAGGGGAAGTCCGGGAGAGGGGGAGAGGGGGATAGGTGGAGAGGGGGAGAGCAGAGAGGGGAGAAGGGGGAGAGATAGGTATGTAGAAACGATCCTTACCAGGTGAGGAGGTTGATTTGAGTGAGTTAAGGCTGTGAGGATTGTGCCAAAGAGATACCCGAGCACCAGCCAGCTCAGCAGCCTCTCACTCCTCCCCTTCCCATACCACCTCCCACACACGCCTCTTTCCCCCACACCCACACACACTCACCTGAGCTCAGTGTCGCGGTATTACGAAGCCAGGAGGGCCACATAATAACCGGGACAGCGCAGAGAGTTTATCGGCAGTAGAGCAGCAGGAATGCAGCAGAGGCAGAATCAGAAGGGAGGAAGAACGGGGTAGGGACAGGGACGGAGGGCGAAGGCAAGGAGAAGCAGTGTACATAATTGTACGATAGCGCCCAGGAATGTTTGCGTGAGAATGTTGGGATACGGGTTGGGGTGTATGCTTCTTTTGTGCGCCGCATGGTACGTTTCCTGTACAGGGCGCGACGCTGTTGCCGCGTACGAGCACAGCGCAATCGACAGGTGGCAGGAGCTGCAGTGCAACATGCAAGCCAAGCGTGCAGCTGGCGGAGGGCTCGTGCTGGAGCCCATGCAGATCCAGACCGCCTGCGGTTTGTAAATACGACTCGGTACCCCCGAGCCTCGCCCATGTGATGAATGTGTGCTAGAAGCGCTAGGCTAGGGCGGAAAAGTCATGTTGTACATAGCTGTGCTGAAACCCTAGTGTTGGCTGCTTCGTTGTATGTTTCCCATTCGCTTCAATGTAATCCTGTTATACCAGCCACAGGTGGTCATGAGCACGCTAGGGAACCAGCTTGTCAGTCATTAGCAGTGAGGAGATTTTCTGAGTGAGGTATCACGATGGAGTTCTATCACAGGGCACACGGTATACGGCAGACAAGTAGTTGTTAGTGCCCCAGCAGCAGCAGCAAGGAAGGTCGGCAAGTGAGTAGTCCAGGGGGGCGGGTAAGCAGAGGCCTGCAGGCAGGAACGGCAGGAGTCAAGAGAGAGGGGCCACACAGAGAATTTCCGACATCAGCGAACCGTCTCTCGAAAGGCGACACTGTTTCATCCTGCCCGGGCTGCTCCCAATCCCCCCCGGCCCCTCGCCCCTTTCCTCCCAACACTCCTACCACCCCCTTCCCAGTCTCCCCCCCTCCTCCCTCCCCATCCACACACTCACCTGAGCTCAACGAAACGTCTCTCAAAAGGCGACACTGTTTCGTCCTGCCCGGAATGCTCCCGGTCGCTCCCTGCTGCCCCCTCCTGCCCGTGTCTCTCTGGATGCTCTCAGAATCCCTCCACCGCCCGCCATGCTGCCCCCTCCTGCCCGTGTCTCTCTGGATGCTCCAGAATCCCTCCACCGCCCGCCATGCTGCCCCCTCCTGCCCGTGTCTCTCTGGATGCTCCAGAATCCCTCCACCGCCCGCCATGCTGTGAGCAGCACTGGGAGCATCCCGGGTGAGAGAGGTGGCTGTAGAGCCATGCTGCTGCATGCTGCTGCGGTCCATGCTGCTCTGCTGCATGCTGTGATCATGCATGTTGTCATCATGCGTGTTGTGACGCATGCCATGACCATGCATGCTATGGCGCCGCCTGTGGTCCCTGTCAGCGTGGACATGGCCTACAGCCTCAAACGAAATCCGAGACACAGTGGTCAGCGCTCTGGACAGCTGTCTCTGAAGATGAGTCAGTGGGGGGTAGGTCTCTAACCCGCCTTCATCACCCCCCGCCGCCTCTCCTCCCTCCCCACCACTGCCTGCTTCCTTTTCCCTCTCCCCCATTCTCTTCCACTCCGCTGCTTCCCTCCGCGACTGGGCCTCCATTTTCTCCATGGCGTGAATGAAAAACGCGTCATTGTTCTCGCCTCGGGTCAGCACACTCTCTGACCTTGTCAGCGCAACCCTGTTGTTGCTGCCAGCCTGTTCCCCGACATCTGACCTTGTTGACATCAATGGGAACACGCCCTTAGCTTCCTCCTCTCGCAGGTGCTTCAGGAAGTAGTGCCTCCTGATGAGAACCGGGATGAGGGATGTGAAAACGGGAAAAACGTCACCATCAACAACACCATCAGCAGCAGCAGCACCTGATCGAATGTGGAAACGTTCATACGGACGGATGCGAGGCCTGCAACGGTCAGTGCGGATGTGCAGTTATAGAGTGCGTCTATAAAAGAGATTTTTCCGAGGCTGCCGACTGGAGTGGCGAGCATAATCAGCGTGGCTATCAGGTCGACAATAACGAAAAAGAGGAAGTGGATTCGATAGAAGGTAATCTGAGAGCGGAGCCACGCGACGAAGGAACGCCAATTGACGTGCTTGAAACGGTGCCAGAGCATAGGTGAATTCTCAGGGTGGTCAGGAGGGCTGTTGGAGGCAGAGTGAAGCCAGTTTCCAATTCTAAAGCGAAGCGAGCCGCTTGAAGTGTTTGCCGTGTCTGACGTGGCCTTATTTAGCTCTTCCGCCATGGAAATTCTAATTGCCCGGTTCATAGTTACACGCAGGAAAATACATAACCAGAAACTCGACCAGAAGAAGAAACATAACCTGATGGCAACGACCAGGCTTGACGGAATGATGTGGTTGGATAATGCGGACGCGAAAATACGTTTATTGCGAAGAGTGAGAGCACCATACCTCGGTTCTAGTGCTTCTGTTTCAATCTCTTCAACGTTCCGTGTCCTTGCTATCGTCATCGAATCTTAAATAGATCGTAATTTAATACCTGCGATATAATATAACGTGACCTTCGACAATGTGATAAGCTTGACAGGCTTACGGATAAGATTGTCAAACGCGCGAAGCGTTTCATGGGCATCAGGATGATCGGAGCCAAGTTTGGAGCTAACCCAGAGCTTCGTGGTGCTGAGCAAAAATGACAAAGCCATGCCACGACACATTCGAACGTGGGGATGATCGTAACGAGGGGCCTTAGCGAACGATTCACGGAGGAACTGTTGACGAAGTTCCATGATCCGTTTTTCCGGAGCGGAGCAATGTCGGATTATGAAAGTTCACCCCCAGTTCATGCGTGAAAGTTCAGGCTGCTAGGCAGAGAGGTTCATAGTTGTGAAGTGTCCTAGAATCGAGATGCTTCTATGTGTACCCATGCCATCCATGCCCTAGTGTTACGAGTGCAATGGAGTGAACGAACGAGAATTGCACTATCGAAGCAAGAGTACAATGAGCGAAGGTATGAGCGAAGAATATATAGCGAAACTACAGTGGTAACGGTAATGGACTGTGGTTGTCGCGCGACGGGCCTGGGACTGAGGTTGGGAAAAGTGTCGAAGCGGAGGCCCGGAGCGCGGGTTACCCGCCGAGCCGTGAGGTCGGGGTGCGACGTGCGAAGGTGGCGGGCGGATTGTCGATGCGAGGATTGCGAGTGGTAACGGTGCTGACTGTGGCGCTACAGTGATGTACGCGTTGAGCAGGGACGCGAAGTAAGGAAAAAGAGATTTTCCTTACACTACCCCCCCCTTAAGGAGGTCCTCCTTACGAAAGTGCGTGTACATCCCTGAAATTCCGGCTGCGCAGATATTCGGTGAGGACGGGGTGGTTTTCGATTCTGTCCAGGGGAACCCAATTGTCTTCGGTGGGTGTACGGTCCTTCCAGCGGAGTAAGAACTCGATCCTTCGGGCTCCTCGAAGGTCGCGAACTCTGTGACTCTGGATTTTCTCGGGGGTGATGATTGGTTCAGTCGGTGGTCTTGTCATGCTGGCTGGGCGATTGCGTGGCAGTTGGCTCGTGGACGGGACGTAAGGGCGAAGCAGGCTGACGTGGAACGAGGGGCTGACGTACCAGTCAGCAGGGAGGAGGAGGTGGGCGGTGACAGGTGTAAGCATGTGGCTTATGCAAAATGGCCCGCAGTATCGGGGGCGGAGTTTCGGGGTGATGGGCAGTCGGAGATTTTGGGTGTCGAGCAAAACTAAGTCGTCGGGCTGGTAAGTGACAGGTCTGCGGTGGCGGTCGGCATTGCGTTTAGCGATGATGTTAGCTTTTTTAATTGCGTCTGCTGCCCTGGTCCGTGCTGCTTGCAAAATTTCGGCGAACTGTTGTGCGCGTGGAACCGGGTTGTCGGGATTTGGGGTCATGGGTACTGTTGGGTCTTGTCCGTAATTCAGGTAAAACGGTGACTGTTGGGTCGTGGCGGATGGGGCGTTGTTGTATGCGAATTCGATGAGTGGCAGTTGCTGTTCCCACGTGTTTGGGTCGTCGCACGTGGCCCGGATGAGCTGTTCCATGGTCTGATTTGTCCGTTCTGTCTGTCCGTCTGTTTCGGGGTGGTACGATGAACTAAACTGTAGTCGCGTGCCGAACTGCTGCCACAGGATCCGCCAGAAGTTGCTGGTGAATTTCGTGTCTCTGTCGCTGATGATTGATGCTGGTATCCCGTGCAGTCGAACGACGGTAGAGATGAAGAGGCGGGCTGTTTCTTCGGCTGTGATTGATTTTTTGCAGGCTGCGAAGTGTGCCATTTTCGTCAGTCGATCGACGACGACCAGGATCGCGTCATTTCCACTCGCCCCGGCCGGTAACCCCGTGACGAAGTCCATCGTCACCTGCTGCCAAGCACGCTCTGGAGGTGGGATTGGCTGCAACTGTCCCGCCGGCCGCTTCCGTGTTGACTTCATGATCTGGCAAGTGGGACACGATGCCACGTGTCGCTGCACGTCGGTCAACATTTCGGGCCAGTAATAATACCGCTGCAGCTGCTGCCGTGTTTTCTCTACCCCGAAATGTCCCGAGGTAACCCCGTCGTGTGCCTCTTGTAATAGTAATTCCTGTAGCAGTGTGTACCCTGGTACCCAGATGCGGTCGGTCCCGGCTTTTACGTAATAGACTCCCTTGGCTGCTGCGAACTGCTGCGAATTTCCTCCTGTGAAGAATGAGTCCGTTTGATATCCGTGGGTAAATAGTCCTGTCAGTAGCGGGCTGGTCTGGGCGAGTAGTATCGCGTGGATCTGGGCAGTGGGGCGGGTCAGTGCGTCGGCGATGTTCGAGGCTCCTTTTTTATAGGTGACTGTGTAGTGGAAGTTTGACTCGAGGAAATCGAGCCACCGAATCTGTCGTGGGTTGAGGTGGGGCTGTGCGCGGAGGTACTGTAGTGATCGGTGGTCTGTCTGTACTGTCACGTCTGCGCCGGTCAAGTAGCAGCGCCACACTTTGAACGCATGCACGATCGCGAGCATTTCGCGGTCGTGTATCGGGTAATTTCGCTCGGGCGGATGCAGTTTTCGTGACTCGTATGCGATGGGCTGTAGGCCGTTGCCGAAGTCTTGTAGCAGTACGGCTCCAATGGCGATGTCGCTTGCGTCTGTAACAACCTCGAAGGGGCGGTGTGGGTTGGCGATGCGCAGGACGGGCGGTGAACAGAGAACATTTTTCAGGGCAGAGAAGGCAGCATGCTCTTTCTCCCCCCACGTAAAAACGACCCCTTTTCGCAGTAAATCCGTCAGCGGGGCAGTCAACTGTGCCATGTCGGGGACGAACCGGCGAATATAATTAACGAACCCTAAAAAACTCTGCAGTTCCGTGATGTTCGTCGGGGGACGCCACGCTTTTACCGTATCCAGTTTCTTTGGGTCGATTTCAACTCCAGCCTCCGAAATAACGTGCCCCAAAAATTCTAGTCTGTCCCGAAAAAACTCGCACTTAGAGCCCTTGGTTAGTAACCGATGTTCCGCTAAAACTTTAAATACTGCTTCGAGATCCGCTAAATGCTGCTGCTTGTCGCGACTGTAGACGAGGATGTCGTCGAGGTAAACTATCACGCATTTATCTAAGAGTGGCCTAAACGCCTCGTTCATGGTCATCTGGAATGTTGCGGGCGCGTTGGTCAGCCCGAAAGGCATCACCGTGTACTCAAACGACCCGTACCTAGTCCTAAATGCTGTCTTGGCGCAGTCCGATGGTTCGACCCGAATCTGATGGTAACCCCCCCGTAAGTCTATTTTCGAAAACACCCGTGCTGTTCGCAGTTGGTCGATCAGTTCGTCGGCGCGGGGAATGGGGTACCGTGACTTGACTGTTACCCTGTTGAGCGCTCGGTAATCGATGCACATGCGAAACCCTCCGTCTTTTTTCGGTGTGAACAGCATCGGTGCGGCGAACGGTGACGAACTTGGTCGAATAAACTGCTTCTCTAACAAATAATCTAACTGCTTCCTCAGTTCGTCGAGCTCGGGCTGTGTCAGTCTGAACTGGCGCTGTACAGTTGGCTGTGCCCCCGGTTCTAACTCGATCCTATGATCATGCGCCCGCTGAGGTGGCAGCCCTTCCGGTAAGTCGTCTGGAAAAATCCCCGGGTACCGTTTCAACAGTTCCTGTAGTTCGGGCGGTACTGCTGCCAACAGTTTCTGAAAATCGCTCGGCTGCTCCGCTTCTCCTACTAATGCTATATCTACTGCGTACACGTCAGCTCCAGCGGCGACAACCCGTTTCATCGTGATGGCGTTGACGTGGACCGTTGAAGACTCGGGCGACTGCCAGCGAGGTAGCATGACCCAGTTACCGCTACTTCGTACAGTGCAGCTACCCGTCGTCCAGTCGATTCGTGGGTTGTACCGTCGTAGCCAATCACGTCCCAGTAAAACATCATGCCCATCCAATGTCGTCGCGAGCATTTCCTGTGTAAACCCGAAGTTTCCCCCGCAGCGAACTTTTACTCTCTCCACCTTTTCCCGTATGGCCAGCGGCGTGCCGTCAACTAAGCGTGCGTCGATCTCAGGTAAGCAGCGACTAAGTCTCAGTTGTAATTTTCGCGCAGTTGCGGTATTAACTAAACTGTGGCTTGCTCCTCCGTCAATAAAAATCTTCACTGCTGCTCCCTGTATTTTCCCGTGGATCAGTACTGGGCAATCCGTCGCTGTACCCTCCTTATTCGTCCGAGTCCGATCGATAGCATGAATCGGTACTGTGACTCGGTGAGGGTCGGTGGGGTTGGGCGAGCAGGCAGTCTCGTCAGTAGTTGGCCCGGTTCCTACTGACTGCTGGCGTTTCCCTGCCTTGGAGACTCCCTCCCCTGCTCTGCTCCGCGGCGCCTTAGCTCCTCTGGGCATTCGCTCTTGCGATGGCCCGGCCTGTTGCAAGCAAAGCAGCGCCCCTTAAATGGCGCGGCAGCTGCATTCGTCGCAACAGCGTGTACAGTGGCGTGCTCGATCGGTCCCCGAGGACGATGTCCATAGTAGGACCCCGGTCTCGGACGGCGTAAAATGTCGATTTTCTCGGCGAGCGCGAGAATCTCGTTGAAGTTCGAGAGCCCGCGTAGCATGATTTCATGCGAGATGTCCGGCTTCAGCCCTCCGACGTAACGGTCCACCCGCTCCGCTTCGTGCATGTAGCCGACTTGCTCGCATAATGCGAGAAAACCACTCGTATAGTCTTGAACCGATCCGAGCTGCCGCCAAGTGCGCAATCTCTGACGCGCCGAAATAGAAGCCGCGATCGGCTCGAAGCGCGCCCGAAGCCCTGCGCACCACGCGTCCCACGTGCTGTATTGGGCGGTCTCGCAGAATGAACTCCAGGTGACAGCTGGACCCGTGGGCCCTTCCTCTTGCGACGGTGGCTCGTAGGCGCGTGGCGACGTCACGATGACTCGCCACCAGTCCATGGCGGGGCCCCTTAGCAGCGAAACTGCATACCGAATCTTCGCTGCGTCCGACTCGACGTAATTCGCGTCGAAGAAGACGTTCATCGTGAAGACCCACGATTGAACCGTCGGACCTCCACGCTGGCTCGGGTCGAAACAGGGCGGGCGTTGCGGCTTGAGTGGCATTGGTGCCATGATGGCCTGTTCGCCACTTGTCGCCGCGAACTCCACGTGCCGACGGGCTTCGCGAGGCTCCCGCGGGCTTGGCGCGCCCCTGCTTCCTCCCATGCCAGGCATTGGTTGGGCGGCGCTATCACTGGCTGCGCCCGAGCGCTGTCCCACGCTGTCGTGTTGTGTTGGTGTCCCGGACGAGATGACGATTGGCTCGTCCGATTGTGCAGGTGCATTTGTTGGTGCGTGTGGTGCTGCTGGAGTGTTCACCGTTGATTGCTGACGCGCGGAGTCACGTTCCGCTGTGAGCATCGCAATTTCGAGCGCCGAATCTTCGAGTTGGCGCACCAGACGGTCGAGCTGCTCCTGCGTCAATGTGGCGAGCGTGAATTCGGCCATGGCGGGGGTGTCGGGCGAGCTCAGCGAGAGCCTCAGTCGTGGCCGTGCGTGCTTACGAGAGAGCACTACGAGAGACGTCTACCCCCCCCAAAAAATTGAGATAGTGGGGAAGCGAAGGTGTGGGTGCGGTCCGAGAAGAGATCGTAGGCTCTGAATACCAAGTGTTACGAGTGCAATGGAGTGAACGAACGAGAATTGCACTATCGAAGCAAGAGTACAATGAGCGAAGGTATGAGCGAAGAATATATAGCGAAACTACAGTGGTAACGGTAATGGACTGTGGTTGTCGCGCGACGGGCCTGGGACTGAGGTTGGGAAAAGTGTCGAAGCGGAGGCCCGGAGCGCGGGTTACCCGCCGAGCCGTGAGGTCGGGGTGCGACGTGCGAAGGTGGCGGGCGGATTGTCGATGCGAGGATTGCGAGTGGTAACGGTGCTGACTGTGGCGCTACAGTGATGTACGCGTTGAGCAGGGACGCGAAGTAAGGAAAAAGAGATTTTCCTGACACCTAGTACAAGTTGGAAGGAACATCGCCATGGATGGATCATGGGACAGACGCCGATAGGGGCGTGTCCAACAAGAGGGAGGCGTGAAATCTTCCAAACACCTGGTTACGGTTCCAGTGCCGCTTGTTTCACTCGAGGATATGGTAAACAATCGCCAGTCAGTCAGAATCCGTTGACGTTCGTCGACATCCTGCCAAATTCCCTCCCAGTCACGCTTACGCAACCTCGCTTTGAGATGCACGCGACTTCATACGAACTGGTTAGTGCATATAGCCCTTGTGAGGAGCCACTTGCTACAGATTTATTTAATAATTTCAACAACACAACGGCAACAAAAGGATTCTGGACTGACTGCATGATATGATAGAAGATGCGAGCTTCATGCAGCGCACAGGAAAGAATTAGCTAGTGTGAACCCGATATGGCACTTCTGAAGGAACGGACGAGGGCACTGAAGATGGCACGGCTCCAGGAGTTGACTGAGTAGCATGCAGCCTGCGAACAAACAACGTATGGTTGCATGGATGGATTAGAGTGTATTGCATGTGCATGTACTCATGAGTCCTGAGTTGGTGGCAGCCTGCAGCGAAGAGACTCCAGCCAGAAAAAGCCTTGGTCGGGGCACACAAATGCAGATAGGAACGCAGGCGCTTGAACGCAGAGGACACAACAGACAACGGTGCATGAGACTAGCATAAGACACACATGCCATTCCAGGTTCTAGTACCCCAAATTCTACCACAAGAGGGTTGCAATGAGTCGCGTGCGTGCACACACATTCACACACAGGCGTGAGGGCTACGTACGAGGAGAGGCGGCTTATGAGAGAGCTGGGCTGATGTGTAATTTGAGACGAGTCAGAATACACGTCACACACATGGATCAGTGCGAGGGTTACGTACGAGGAGATGCGGCGCATGAGAGAGCTGGGCTGAGACTTGGTCATTGTGAGCGCTCGTGTGAGCAGCACAGCGGGATCCTCTGTGACACCAGACAGGAAAGGAGGTGGTGGGGCGGGAAAAGTACCCGGCAACGCCATGGGCGGCGGGGGTACACAAGAAAACAGGAAAGGATGAAAATAAGCGTACGAGTCCTAGAGTGGAGTCATGGCAGTGGGGTCACTTGTGCCTACAATCGATCTGACTTATCCGTACCACACATGTGCGACGTTACGACTTGGCTGTGAAACCACAACATTACCATGCTCCCTCAGTCCCGCTCCCACAATCGCCCTGGATTACCTCGCATGTCATTAGCTCGCGTCACCTGTGATTCGCTGGGCAGGCCGGCGCTGGAACTGCTTGGGCGGCGGAATGACAATGGCGGCGTCGATGTTGTCTGGTAGCCCTCTGTGGCGGCCCAGCAGCATCACGAGGATGACTATTAGCTTAGACATCACTGACCACGTGCCTGCCGGGTAGAATTGAAAAGTGGGGAAAGAAGGGAGGAGGAAGGGGAGCAGGGTCAGCAAGAGCACAGGCAGACCTCTGTGCCGCCCCAGCAGCATCACGAGGATGACTATTAGCTTAGAGAGCACTGACCACGAGCCTGGTGGGTTTATGAGAGGAGAGGGGAAAGGAGGGAAGAGGAGGAAGGGAAGCATCTGTGAAGCAAAAACGCCTCTGGTGCACCCACCTGGGAAGCTGTAAAGCAAGACGACTATGGTGTGTACCTGAAAAGCTGTAGGGCGGCGCGTCTGTGCAGTCGGGGTTGCTGGTGGGGCAGCTGTTTCCCAGAGACAGCCCCACGTTGCCGTAGGCACTGTGTGATGATGAGGGAAGGAAGTAAGAGCGAAGAGGGAATTTTGAGTTTTGAGTTGCCAAGAACAATGGTAATTGCAGTTGCTAGTGGGGCAGCTGTTTCCCAGAGACAGTCCCACGTTGCCGTAGGCACTGCGTGATGATAGGGCGGGTTGGAGGCAGGCTGAGGGGACAACAACTGCTGAGGCACCTTAAATATGAATCTCCAAGAGACATGCCCGCATTGCCACAGGAACTGGGGGTGGTGGGGTGGTGTGGAGGGGAAGATGGGAGGAGGAAAACGGAGGAGGATGGAAAGAGCAGGCGATGGGAGCAGAAAGACTAGCCTATAGGCAGTGGGTGGTGATGAGATGGAGTGGGGAAGGAGGGAAGATTTAGGTGCCATGCATCTACGTGGCTGGCAATGAACATGCGTTAGGTACAACTATTCGAGTCAACTCAAACTAGCCCAAACCAGGGCAGGGAGGGAAAGTACTTTTCGACTCGTAAGTCTTTTGAGGCACCTCCAAGGGAGAGTACCTTGATCACTTTGAAGAGAGTCCAGTTGGCTGGATCAGAACTAAATTCCCCGTTCTGAATGACACAGATGAGGAAGATGGAGACAAACAGATACACCGAGTCCTGCGCCACCATGTGCCACGGACTGCCACCATGTGCCGCGGAATGCCACCATGTGCCACGGACTGCCACCAGGTGCTGCCCCTGTGCTGCCAGGAGCGAGAAAACCAGCACAGGACGAGTCCCATCCGGCCGCATTTCAGTCGAATCAATTGACGCCAAACCAGGGCAGGGGGGAGCGTACCTAATAATCTCGAAAATCACTTTGAAGACGGTCCAGTTGGCTGGGTCGGAGTTGAATTCCCCGTTCTGGATGACGCAGATGAGGAAGACGGAGACAAACAGGTACACCGAGTCCTGTGCCACCAGGTGCCGGCCCTGCGCCAGCACGGAGGAGTCAAGCACGCCCCCATGCAGGTCCTCTGAGAAGACAGCTAGGTCGTCCGAGTCTTGCACGTCGCGCTGCTCTCGGGAGGACTGACGTGTGAGAAAGACCGGGTAGACCGCCATGTACCTGGGGAGAGGAACGGGGGAGGAGGGGAGAGGGTAAGAAATGGTGGAAGGAGGTTGGACTGAGGAGTGGGGTGGAAGGGAAGGGCGGAGGATTCCTGTGCCACCAGGTGCCGGCCCTGCACGAGCACGGAGAGTCAAGCACGCCCCCATGCAGGTCCTCTGCAAAGCCTGCTAGGTCGTCCGAGTCTTGCAGGTCGCGCTGCGCACGGGAGGACTGGCGCGTGAGCAACACCGGGTAAACCGCCACGTACCTGGGAGATGGGGGAGGGAGGAGGGAGTAGGGAGGAGGAGGTGAGATGGAGGGTTTAACTTGTCCCCATATTTGCTTCCCTGCACGCCCCCATGCAGGTCCTCTGCGAAGACTGCTAGGTCGTCCAAGTCCTCCGCGCTGCTCGCAGGAGGACTGGCGTGCGCGCAGACCAAGGCGCCCGCGCGGACCGAGTCTCGAGCGTGGACCTTCGCGCGAACCAAGGCGCGCGCGCGGACTGAGGCGCGCATGAAGACCAAGACGCGCACGCGCGGGACCAAGGCGCGCGCGTGGAACAAAGCACGCACGTGGACCAAGGCGCGCTCGTGGACCAAGGCGCGCGCGTGGACCAAGGCGCGCGCGTGGACCAAGGAGCGCGCGTGGACCAACTCGCGCGCGCAGACCAAGGCGCGCGCGTGGACCAAGTCGCGCGTGCGGACGAAGTTGCGTGCGTGGAACAAGGCGCGCGCGTGGACCAAGGCGCGCGCGTGGACCAAGGCGCGTGCGTGTGAGCAAGGCGCGCGCGTGGACCAAGGCACGTGCGTGTGAGCAAGGCGCGCGCGTGAACCAAGGCGCGCGCGTGTGAGCAAGGCGCGGGCGTGGACCAAGGCGCGCGCGTGGACCAAGGCGCCCGCGTGGACCAAAGGCGCCCGCGTGGACCAAAGGCGCCCGCGTGGACCAAGGCGGGCGCGTGGACCAAGGCGCGCGCATGGACCAAGTCGCGCGCGTGGACCAAAGCGCGCACGTGTGACCAAGGCGCACGCGTGGACCAAGGCGCGCTCGTGGACCAAGTCGCCCGCGTGGACCAAGTCGCCCGCGTGGACCAAGGCGCGCGCGTGGAACAAGGCGCGCGCGTGGACCAAGGCGCGTGCGTGAGCAAGGCGCGCGCGTGGACCAAGGCGCGCGCGTGGGCCAAGGCGCCCGCGTGGACCAAAGGCGCCCGCGTGGACCAAAGGCGCCCGCGTGGACCAAGGCGGGCGCGTGGACCAAGGCGCGCGCGTGGACCAAGTCGCGCGCGTGGACCAAGGCGCACTCGTGGACCAAGTCGCCCGCGTGGACCAAGTCGCCCGCGTGGACCAAGGCGCGCACGTGGACCAAGGCGCGCGCGTGGACCAAGGCGCGTGTGTGGACCAAGTCGCGCGTGTGGCGAGTGAGATGGGGGAGGGAGCGGGGGGAGGGGCGAGGAGGGAAGAGGGACAAGTAGGATGGTGGCCCTAATGGTCGTCCGTGTCATGCACGTGCCGCTGCTCTCAGGAGGATTGACGCGTGAGGAACACCGGGTAGACTGCCACGCACCTGGGGTGAGGGATGGGGGAGTGGGGGAGGGGCAGGCGGGATGAGGGAGGTGCGAGGGGGGAGAAGTATGCAAGGGCGATGAATGGGGGAATGGGATGGACGGAGGAGAAGAGAAGGAGAAGGGAGAGAAGGCAGGGGCACCGAGGAGAAGGTGGAGCAGGCACGAAGGGGGGGGAACGGTAGGGAGAGGGCGCAGCAAGCAGCACGGAGTATAGCAAGGCCTAAATTGGCCTGGGTAAGTGTGGCAGGAAGCGTGCCCGGGGGTAAGGTAAGCCCTGGTGGCCCAGACTCACATGAAGCCACAAAAGAGGAAGTTGGTGGCGGCAGTGAGGTTTGAGAGGGTGATGGTGGAGTATGGTGGAAAGTCGAGTCGAATGTCACCTCAGCCCGGCACCCACAGACTCACATGAAACCACAAAAGAGGAAGTTGGTGAGTCTGGGTGAAATGTCGAGTCAAATGTCACCTCAGCCCGGCACCCACAGACTCACATGAAACCACAAAAGAGGAAGTTGGTGGCAGCTGTGAGGTAGGAGATGTTGACAATGGAGTAGCCCGCGTTGCGCGTGCTCACAGACTGCATCCAGCTGTCAAAGAATCAGTACCCACCTGCGAGGGAGCAGGAGTAGTGGGGGGGAGAGGGAGGGAGAGGGAATGTGTGGTATAAGAAGGGGCAAACAGGCTGACAATGGAATGGAGTACCCCTTCTTAAACCTGCGCGTGAGGAAGCACCCACTGTGTGTGTGCTCTGCTCACTGACTGCATCCAGCTGTCAAAGAAACGGTACCGACCTGGTGGGAGAGAGGTGGTAATTGGAAAATTGGGGAGAACGAGAGGTAGGCAGGAGAGGGTGATGATAAGTTTTTAACGAGACTCACAGGCTGCATGGCATGGCATGGCATGGCATCAAGTGGTGCTGAAGCCGACAATGGCGAGCAGCAGCCAGAGCGTCTGTCTGTGTGGGTGGGAAGAGGCCATGCCTTGCGCTTACAGCTGAGCGCAGCATTGGCTTGAATTGACAGTTTCAGACGAGGGCCACGAGGAAGAAAGCAACCTTCGAGCATGAGATCAGGAGGTTTTGGAGGGGGTTCTAATCACCACCTTGCCGTGCACTCACCTCCAAGCCCTTCAAAGGCCTGGGAGTTCCAGTCGAGAGCCATAATAAAGAAAGCCTGGATGGTGTTGAATGTGACGATTGTGAGCAGCAGCCAGAGCGCCTGCTTGTGTGGGAGAGCTGCGTGTAGCACTTGCGCGGATGGTCCAACAGGTACTTGGTTATGTGCCTGACAGGGGGGAAGGGGAGTGGGGGGAGGAGAGTGGGAGGTGTTATAGTCACAATAGGCTTGAATGTGCCTAAAACGAAAGATAGAGAGCACAGACGGATTTCTGCACAGCGGCTTCAAACGTTGATAGCGTTCTGCTCACAGCTGCAAATGACTTGATTCAAATTGGATCTGGAGCGTCTTCACGTCGTCTACAATGAGCAATTTAGATTGCACGATTTGATAAAGAATTGACGACACAGCGTCGGTTTGAACGAACGGTACTATGGCAGCCACTATAGTCTTAGAACACAAGATAGGAAGAGTTACGAGTTGGGAATGACTCCCAGCTCCTACAAACCCCAAGAGCCGAGGTACAGTGATGTGGAACAGTGCCACACTGTCCCCAACCACGAAGGGTCTCGAAACTACCCTTCATTAGGGCCTACACCAAGTGAAATGTTACACTACACAAAGTAATGTAACTATCTTCAATATCTTGAGGTGTACCCTTTTGGCGAGCTTCGAAATCACTTGAGGCTTGACACCAAGGCTCGGGCTCTTCATCACAAACTCATCCTTGAGTTCTTGATGGGTCTGCTGCACACACCTGCGACACGCCAAACGTTCGACACAGGACAAAATAGAAACCCGCACGACAAAATAGAAACCGCGCACGACAAAATAGAAACCGCGCGCGAGACACAAACGACCGCGTAACACGCGTCTAGCGATAACTCGCTATTGACTCGACACACACACTCGACATCATGACTCAACATTCACACACAATTATAAGCATGAAATATATATTATCCCATGCCCTCATACCATTCCATACACACACACATTCACGCACACGGACAACAAGCCGAGTGCAAACCGTAGGGTTGCACCAACAAACTCCCCCTCGGATTGTTGGCCTTAGGATATGTTGCTCTCTCAGTTCAGAGCCATCCCAGCCAGCTTGCAACACTTCCAATGCTGCTGCTCCACCAGCCTCTTGGTCATCATGTCAGCCGGCTGCTCCGTGGTCTTCACGTAGCGCAACTCAACTTCACCTGCGGTTACCATGCTCCTCGTCCAATGCCACTTCACCCTCATGTGCTTCGTGAGTCCATGCAACACAGGATTCTTAGCAAGAGCAATGGCACCCTGGCTGTCACAGTACAGTGGGGTAGGTCCTTGCTGCTCCTCCCCCAATTCAGCCAACAAACGCCGCTGCCACACAATCTCCCGTACGGCACGGAAGAGTGCCATGTACTCGGACTCCACCGAGCTCAAAGCTTGGTCAACCTGCTTCTTGCTCTCCCAAGCAGTTGGGCCTCCACCAACACAGCATATGAAGCCTCCCACACTTGTCATGTCCTCTGGTTCTGATGCATATGAAGCATCCGAGTAGGCGGTGAGGAACAAACGCCCGGGTTCAACACCATCCGCGCCCTTTTGGCGCCTTTGTGCCGCCGCCGAGTATTGCAGCCCAACGGTCGGTGTTTGGCCAAGATACTTGGCCACCCTCATTCCAGCTGCTACCTGTTCCTCATTAGGGCATTGCACAACCCTAGCCAGCTGCCCGGTAGCAAACGCGACGTCCGGTCGGGTGTTTACCGCCGCATACATGAGGCTGCCCACCAACGAGTGAAATCGGCGCCTCTCCTCTTCACCAACGCTCTCCTCCTCTGGTCCCTTCACACACTTGAACCCAGAGGGAAAGGGTGTAGCCACATGGCCTTCACTCTGCCCAAAGTTGGCAGCCAATGCCTCCAGGTACTTTCGTTGATGCACCCGCATGCACCGCTTCTCCACATCTCGTTCGATGTGGAGCCCAAGGTAGAAGCTCACGTCACCAAGGGCCTTGCACTTGAACTTGTCTTGAAGCTTCAGCATCACCTCCTTCACAAGGTCAGAAGAGGGTGAGAAAATGAGGATGTCATCCACATAAACCACCATGAAACTCCTCTGCTCCCCCTCGCCAAGCATGAACAAGGAGTGATCGGCCGTTGAGGGAGTGAAGCCGATCCCCTCCAACACTTCGCGCAGCTTCATGTACCATTGCCTAGGGGCCTGCTTCAGCCCATAGAGGGCCTTCTTCAGCTTCCACACTCTGCCACTACCATCATCAAATCCCTCTGGCTGCGCCATAAAAATCTCCTCCTCAAGGATGCCGTTAAGGAATGCCGTTACGATGTCCATTTGCTTTACTACCCATCCTTTGATGGCGGCTCCCGCGAATAGGGTTCGCAGCGTCGTCGGCTTCACCACAGGGGCAAACAGCTCCTTGAAGTCCACCTTCTCCTTCTGCTGGTACCCCTTGGCTACAAGCCTAGACTTGTAGCGCTCGATCTTGCCGTCGGCATCCGACTTGATTTTGAAGAGCCACTTGGACGTTATCGCCGTACGCCCCTCCGGTAGCTCCACCAATTCAAACGTGTCATTCTCCTCGATGCTCTTCAGCTCACTCTCCATGGCCTTCTTCCACTCCTCAGCATCACTACTCTCCAAAGCCTCCTTGAGAGTTGCTGGTTCTCCCGGCATCTCCACCGGAGAGAAGAACGCGAAGGCACACTCCTCGTAGTCACTCTCCTCGTCGTCTCCGACCATCATTGCCGCTCCGGCCAGGGCTGTCTTGCCCTGCTTTCCCGGCGCATCATAGGTCAGCCTATTAGGGGGTTGAACTCTCCTCTTCCCCCTTCCTTCCTCCTCAGCTGCAGGGACTTGAAGGCCTTGGCGTTGCTGCGGTGTGGCTCGAATCCGTGGAGCACTCGTAGTACGGGAAGGGAGTGACGGTGCACGCTCGCTCACTTGCTGCACCTCCTCCTCTTCTTCCTCTGCATCATTGGCCTCCTCTCCCCCATTCACAAGGGAGGATTGCCTTGTGGTTGTGCTGCCGCTGCTCAGCTCCAAAGGCAGCTCCACATGCTCCAAACCGGAACTCTTCACCTCCCCAAACCGCACGCCTATCTTCGCCTCATTCTCCGCCTTCCAATCCTTGTACATGAAGTTCTCCATGAACTTGCAGTCCCTGCTCACCAAGAACTTCTTGGTGAATGGGTCCCAAAGAAGCCATCCCTTGCTGTTTTGAGCCATGCCCAAGTGCACGGCCCACACCGCCTTGGCACCAAGCTTGTTGTGCCGAAGATGCTTAGGCACGAGCGCCATGCACATGCACCCGAACACCCGAAGCATATCCACCTTTGGCTTCCTTCCTAGCCACTCCACATAGGGCACCCATTTGTCTGCTTCCACATGAGTCAAGGCTCTGTTCTTGGCCACACACGCGCTCCGCACCGCATCAGGCCAGAAATAGTCGGGTAGCCCGGCTTCAATGAGCAACCCGCGTGCCGCCTCCGTGATTGTGCGGTTCGCTCGCTCGGCGATGCCGTTCATTGCAGGGGAGTATGGCATGGTGAGGGAGTGCCGAATACTATTCTTCTTCAGCCACAACCCAAACTCCTTGCTCAGGAACTCTCCCCCTCGATCGGTGCGGATTGACTTGACTAGACGGTCTTGTTGCCGCTCCATCATCGGGAACCAATCCGTCTTCAACGTTTCAGCCACGTCGCTCTTCTTGGCCAGCACGTACACCCAAGTCATGCGGGTGTAGACGTCGACAATGGTGAGAAAATACTCAGCTCCAGCAGCTCCAAGCTTCAGGGGGCCCACCACGTCCATCACCACCTCATCAAGCGGTGCCTTTGCCGTTGCCTCCGAACTAGGGAACGGAAACCGGGTGAACTTGGCTTGAATGCACGTCGGGCAGCCAAGCACCTCATCGGGCTCCCCCTTCACACGTATGCCAGCAACCATCTCATTCTTCACTAGCTGCTGCAAGATGGGCAGGGCCACATGCCCCATGCGCCGATGCAAGGTGAGCCAATCACACTCCCCCGTAGCCGAAGTTGGATTGGAGAATGCCGCGCTCGCAATAGCGCCCCACATACTCTCTCCGTAGTCCTCCTCCGCTGCTGCCTCTGGGTTCTCCTCACCCTTTTGCTGCTCCTTGGTTGCTGCACCACTCTCCTTAGGTTCACTGAACTTGCTGGTCCCTCCAGGTTTGCTCTTCTTGAGCTCATTCTCCTTAGCGCGACCGTTCGCGCCATCGTCGCTACCGACCGCTCCATCCTTGGTGCTGATGCTTGCTGCCACTTGCCTCTCCTTAGGCATAGGGACCACTGGGATCTGCCACATCTCGTTGTAGACATCCCTGTCCTCATGAAGGTCCCAAAGAATTCGATCGCCAAGCCTTGCGGTGTAGGTCTTGGCTCCCTTCGAGTTCGTGTCCATGCCGGCCTTTGCCAACCGCCGCACGGAAATCAGGTTTGCAGCAAGGCTGGGCACCCAAAGCACGTTCTTGAGGCCCACCATCTTCCCATCAGCACCCTTGAACATGGCCTTGCCCATGCCTTTCACCTCTGCTCGCTGCCCCAAAGCCGATGTGACATGCTTCACCGGTGACGGCTCGAGTTCGGTGAGCAAGTCCGGGCGAGGTGTCATGCTATAGGTAGCGCCACTATCAATCACCCAATAGTCCAGGGGGTGTAGGGTCACCTTCCCCACAGCTGCTGGCTCCTCAAAGCCTTCATCCTTCTCTGGACCAGCCGGTACTTGCGTCGACACGAAGTAGAATAGACCCGGGTATCGATCGTCGCTCGGGTCCTTGTCGTTGTCTCCGCTCTTCATGTTTGCAGCTCCGCCACCGCGACCGCCACGGCCTCCACGGCCTCGTCCTCTCCCTCCTCCTGCTCCTCTACCCTCTTGGCCTTGAGCAGGGGTCCAACCATCAGGGAGTTTGTAGCAGTCGCACCACATGTGTCCGCTCTTGTGGCAATAGTGACACTCGCCGTCGAATCGGCCGCGACCGCGTCCGTAGCTCTTGTCGTCGCTGCCGTAACCGCCACTCCTGCGGCCTCCGCCGAAGTTGCTGCCACCAAACCTTCCTCCCCCTCGTCCTCTGCCTCTTCCTCGACCATATCCACGGCCGATGCTCGCTGCCCCAGCGCCATCCGCACTCGCCAACTCACGGCGGCGGAAATCCTCTTGAAGGATAGCTCGCTTCACGTCTTCAAGCGAGAGGCGGGGCAAGTCGCAATTAAGGTTGATGATGAGCGAGGACCATGACTCTGGGAGTAAGGCCAGCAACTTGGTCTTCTTTTGGAGCTCACTGTAGTTCAAATCAGCTCCCTCAAGCCGCGTCAACAAGTCGAAGAATTTCTGCACCCCTTCTTCAACCGCTTCGTTTTCTTCAATTCGTAGTGCCGCCATTTGCCGTTCCAACACCACCGCTACCGCCGCTGTTGCAGGAGCATGTACACCCTTGAGAGCAGCCCATGCCTTTGGTCCTTTCTCTGGTTCACGCTGGAATGGCTTGATGTGACGGATCTGACTGCTCCCCAACGCTTGCCCAAGTAAGAGATAGCCTTGTGCGCTCTTCCGCACCCACGGGCTCTTCTCCGGGTCGTTCTCGGGGCGCTTCTCCGTTCCTTCCATCACCTCCAGCAGGTCATAGTGGTCAAAGATGTTCTCCATCTTGAAGGACCATTCAGCAAAGTTGTCACCGTTGAACTTGTCAAGCCCAAACACCCTAGGCTCATCCCTAGGTGGGCCAAGACTTGGTTGCATGGGCGCCATGGCTGAATCACGGGGTTGGCCTTGAGCTTGAGCTTCTCCACTGCCACCAGCACCTCTGCCACCCCTTTCCTCAGGTCCAGACATTGTCGAAACTGCTCCAAGGGGCTCTGATACCACTTGTTATAGTCACAATAGGCTTGAATGTGCCTAAAACGAAAGATAGAGAGCACAGACGGATTTCTGCACAGCGGCTTCAAACGTTGGTAGCGTTCTGCTCACAGCTGCAAATGACTTGATTCAAATTGGATCTGGAGCGTCTTCACGTCGTCTACAATTAGAAATTTAGATTGCACGATTTGATAAAGAATTGACGACACAGCGTCGGTTTGAACGAACGGTACTATGGCAGCCACTATAGTCTTAGAACACAAGATAGGAAGAGTTACGAGTTGGGAATGACTCCCAGCTCCTACAAACCCCAAGAGCCGAGGTACAGTGATGTGGAACAGTGCCACACTGTCCCCAACCACGAAGGGTCTCGAAACTACCCTTCATTAGGGCCTACACCAAGTGAAATGTTACACTACACAAAGTAATGTAACTATCTTCAATATCTTGAGGTGTACCCTTTTGGCAAGCTTCGAAATCACTTGAGGCTTGACACCAAGGCTCGGGCTCTTCATCACAAACTCATCCTTGAGTTCTTGATGGGTCTACTGCACACACCTGCGACACGCCGAACGTTCGACACAGGACAAAATAGAAACCGCGCACGACAAAATAGAAACCGCGCGCGAGACACAAACGACCGCGTAACACGCGTCTAGCGATAACTCGCTATTGACTCGACACACACACTCGACATCATGACTCAACATTCACATACAATTATAAGCATGAAATATATATTATCCCATGCCCTCATACCATTCCATACACACACACATTCACGCACACGGACAACAAGCCGAGTGCAAACCGTAGGGTTGCACCAACAGGAGGGAGAGGAAAGAGCTGTGTGTGTGTAGCACTTGCGCTGATGGTCGAACCGGTACTGAGTTATGTGCCTGATGGGCGGAAGGGGAGTGGGGGAATAGAGAGGAGGGAAGAGAGGGGGAAGGAAAGGGGGGAATGGTATCTTAAAAGCATCCCGCAGGCACAGCACAGCAGCGCAAGGCGAGGGGATTCGCCATTCTTGTCTGTGAGACCAAACCCTGTCTCTCTGTTTGTCTGTCTCTCCCCTCGCTCGCACACACAGCGCACAGCCCACTCACCATCGGCTGCTGCCCTTCCTGCTCGTCCTGTGAAGCAGCGCCGGCACGCCTCTGAGCGTGGGGGCGTACATGGTGTTGCCCACCAGGATCAGCACGGCCACAACCAGCAGGAGCAGAAGCAGGCGCTTCTATCTCCCCTCCCACGGCCCATACAGCACTCACCATCGGCTGCTGTCCTTCTTGCTGGTTGAATGGAGTAGTGCCAGCACGCCACGGAGCATGGGGGCGTACATGGTGTTGCCCACCAGGATCAGCACGGCCATGACCAGCAGGTACGGCACATTGCGCTGGAAGGGAATGAGGTTCTCGTCCATTAGTCCGAACCCCGCGTTGGCGAATGCTGACACGGACTGGAAGGCCGAGTTGAAGACCACGTTGATGCCCTTGCCTGGGGGGAATGGAGAGCGGCAAGCGTGCACAGCGGTTTTTGAGGCGAACCGAAATGGGTGAATGACGGGTGCGGAAGGGGCAGAAGAATCTTAAGGGATGACAACCGATCCGACTCAACAGTCAAGCAGCTTGAGTGTAAGGCAGCAAGTTCAAGCTACTCGCCTGTTTTTGAGTCGACTCAAAGGCAGCAAGTTCAAGCTACTCGCCTGTGAGCAGATCGTGGTATTCGGGCCACCACCAGGTGATGAGGATGAAGAGAATAAAGGCAGCAAGGACAGTGCCGAAGAAATACGCGGGCACCAGCCAGCTCAGCAGCTCCAGGGCCCTGCAGGGGTGAAGAGGTGCCCAAAGAGGGACAATGGTGAAGAGGTGCCCAAAGAGGGACCTACGTTGGCAGATACGCGTCCCAGGGTATAATACGCTAGCGTATTATACGCTGGGTATATACGCGGTACGCCAGGGCTGGCGTACTGGTGATACGCAAAAATACGCTGGGCGGGCAGGTAAAACTTTTTTCCCGGGCAGGGCTAAAAAAACCTGTTTCAGGGGGGGGGATTGTTTTCCAAGAACACAAGTCATAATTTAAATTTCATAAATATCCAGAAATACATATTTGGGGCTACTTCTCCCCATACATCCCCACCCCACCCCACCCTCTAGCTAGCTTCCCCACAACCGATTTCCTTGCGGGGCTTTTCCACCACCACACCTTCCCCATACTCATCCGCCAGCACTGCATCCTCTCCTTCCTCCCCCAGCATGTCATCCTCCTCCTCATCCATGTTATAGCCGGGGGGGATAGGGGCATCCGGGATGTTACCGAGCACAACCGTGCTGCCCCCATCCTTCTTGTACCAATTGCGCACAACGTTCCAGTTGTGCGCAATGTAGACGAGGTCCGCACACTTGGCGGACCCGAGCCGGTTGCGGCGGGCGGTGTGGATGCCTTCCCACTGCGCCCAGCCACGCTCGCATGGGGAAGCCGAGACGGGCTGAGTGAGCACCCGGCATGCGAGGGCGGCAAGCTCAGGATACTCGGTGCTGTGCCACGACCACCACTGCACCATGCTCATCTCCCCCTTCTTCACTGCCTCCCTTGCAGAAATGGCGCCCGGCTTGCCAAAGCTGCCCTCCATGTTGATGTAGGCCAGCAATGCCTCCTGCAGCACAAGGGAGGCGCGGCGAGGGGCGCCATCCTTGCCACGCTTGAAGGTCTTGTTGTCATAGTGGCGCTCGATGTAGTCCTTGAACACCCGCGTGCACTCCACATCGTTCCTGAAAATTCCCTCCTCCTGGTTGGCCGGATTCAGGATCCGGCCAACCACATGCATGGGGCAGGCAAGGGAGTTGTCCCACCTGTCCTTCACAATCTTGGTGATGTCTGCCCTCTCTGTCCGAGTCAAGAAGTCACTTGAAGCGTCGAGCTTGTCATTGATGTCCTCGGTAAGCTGTAGCATGATGTCATACAGCTTACCCATCATGCCTTTCGCGGAAGAGTCCGTGGCCCGCATGGCCTTGAATGGCACCGCCATGAGAGAGGTAAAGAACTCCGCCACCCCCCACCACTCCTCATCCATCACAGCAGCCCTGAATTTCTCAGCTGCTGTCTTCCTATCCTTGTCCGCCGCTGCCCACACCTTCCACTCGTCGCTGAGCACCATCGCCGCCAGCCCACTCCTCACCTCACATAGCCGGGCCATGGCTATGTATTGTGTCCCGAACCTGGTTCCCGCAGGCTTGAGCACCTGCTTCCCCCCCACTTTCTTCATATAGGCACGGGTAAAGTGGTGGTTGCGCACGAAGGTAATCATCTCCCCTCTTTTCTCCACAAGCCCCTTCGCCCATCCCATTTTGCCCATATCTTCCATCATCAGGTCCAGGACATGCGTGGCACATGGCACATGCTCAATGTGCGGCCATGTGCTCGCAATCTTCTTGGCGGCCGATGCATAGTTGCTGCCGCCATCGGTGCAGACCGCCACCACATTCTCCGGCCCCACCTCATCAATGACGGGGCGGAGAAGGCTGGCGATGTACCCCCCGGTCTTCGACTCCATGTTGCAATCCACCGCCTGCTCGAAAACTGCGCCGGAGTCGTTGACAAGGAGCACGTTGGCCTGCGGGCGGCCACAACGGTCGGTCATCATGTCCGACGACATCGTTACCCCGTCCCGCTTCCAGCTCGCGGCAACGGGGGCGAGCGCGACCTCCATTTTCTGCCGCACCTTCTTCAAGCCTGCCCCTCCAATGTAGCGCCTCTTAGGAGGGACGTACCCAGGTCCAGCGCGCGCAATGCACTGGACCGCGTAGCGGAAGACCGGATCGTCGCAATGCGCTCCGGAAGTTTCAGCGCCGCGAACAGAAGGCAAAGCGCGTTATCCGCGTCCTCCTTGGCGCACGTCGCCTCATTGCCAAAGAAATCCGTAATTTTGCTCTTTTTTCTCCGGGTTTCCACTGATAGCGTCAAGTGCGGAGTGAATTGCAGCAGCGGCCGCCCCTCGCTTCAAGTCCTTGGTCTCGTACATGCCACGGACTTCATCGCGGACTGCCGTGGGCGCGTCCTTGCATAACGCCACAGCGCGCTTCTCCTGCCCTTTCCATGTCGCGAGATGGATTGCACAGCGGTTTGTTCCGCCCTCGAACTTCTTGCCACAGAACTTGCACAGCTTGGGGTTGCCTTTGGTGTGAAACGGAATGAGGAAATGTTTCAGAATGGGGTGACGGTAGTAGAGCCATGGACAGAGGCTGGATTGTTGTTCGTCGAAGTACTAGGAGCTGAGCCCGACGCCATGGCGCACTACGTAAGTCTAACTAACGAAGAAGAGTGGAGAAATGCGGGAAGGAAATGGAAGAGCATTTGCGCAACGTCGACCTATACGTGCAAACGATGGAAGAACATTTGAAGGGGGTGGTTGGGATTGAGAGGTTGGGTGGGGTGATGTGTGGTTGAGGGGGTGGGAAAGTTTGGATTTTGAAATTCGAAGTTCAGAAGTGGGGTTGGGCACATGAGCGAAGTCGCGGTAACACTTCGCGACTTCGCACATCGTCGCGAAGTTTTTTAATTTCGTATTTTTTTTTTCGCCAGGCTGCCCGGCCATATTTTCGCGAATTCAGAGCGTATCAGCGTATCACGCATATACGCTAGCGAATATACGTGATACGCTAGCCTTTCAAGAGCGTATCTGCCAACGTAGAGAGGGACAATGGTGAAGAGGTGCCCAAAGAGGGACAATGGTGAAGAGGTGCCCAAAGAGGGATAATGGTGAAGAGGTGCCCAAAGAGGGACAATGGTGAAGCTGACAACGCTTGAGGCGCCTCAAAGAAATACGCGGGCACCAGCCAGCTCAACAGCTCCACAGCCCAGCAGAGAGGGAAGAGAAGAGAAGGTTGAAGAGAGGGCAGGAGAAGAGAAGGTTGAAGAGAGGGCAGGAGAAGAGAAGGTTGAAGAGAGGGCAGGAGAAGAGAAGGTTGAAGAGAGGGCAGGAGAAGAGAAGGTTGAAGAGAGGGCAGGAGAAGAGAAGGTTGAAGAGAGGGCAGGAGAAGAGAAGGTTGAAGAGAGGGCAGGAGAAGAGAAGGTTGAAGAGAGGGCAGGAGAAGAGAAGGTTGAAGAGAGGGCAGGAGAAGAGAAGGTTGAAGAGAGGGCAGGAGAAGAGAAGGTTGAAGAGAGGGCAGGAGAAGAGAAGGTTGAAGAGAGGGCAGGAGAAGAGAAGGTTGAAGAGAGGGCAGGAGAAGAGAAGGTTGAAGAGAGGGCAGGAGAAGAGAAGGTTGAAGAGAGGGCAGGAGAAGAGAAGGTTGAAGAGAGGGCAGGAGAAGAGAAGGTTGAAGAGAGGGCAGGAGAAGAGAAGGTTGAAGAGAGGGCAGGAGAAGAGAAGGTTGAAGAGAGGGCAGGAGAAGAGAAGGTTGAAGAGAGGGCAGGAGAAGAGAAGGTTGAAGAGAGGGCAGGAGAAGAGAAGGTTGAAGAGAGGGCAGGAGAAGAGAAGGTTGAAGAGAGGGCAGGAGAAGAGAAGGTTGAAGAGAGGGCAGGAGAAGAGAAGGTTGAAGAGAGGGCAGGAGAAGAGAAGGTTGAAGAGAGGGCAGGAGAAGAGAAGGTTGAAGAGAGGGCAGGAGAAGAGAAGGTTGAAGAGAGGGCAGGAGAAGAGAAGGTTGAAGAGAGGGCAGGAGAAGAGAAGGTTGAAGAGAGGGCAGGAGAAGAGAAGGTTGAAGAGAGGGCAGGAGAAGAGAAGGTTGAAGAGAGGGCAGGAGAAGAGAAGGTTGAAGAGAGGGCAGGAGAAGAGAAGGTTGAAGAGAGGGCAGGAGAAGAGAAGGTTGAAGAGAGGGCAGGAGAAGAGAAGGTTGAAGAGAGGGCAGGAGAAGAGAAGGTTGAAGAGAGGGCAGGAGAAGAGAAGGTTGAAGAGAGGGCAGGAGAAGAGAAGGTTGAAGAGAGGGCAGGAGAAGAGAAGGTTGAAGAGAGGGCAGGAGAAGAGAAGGTTGAAGAGAGGGCAGGAGAAGAGAAGGTTGAAGAGAGGGCAGGAGAAGAGAAGGTTGAAGAGAGGGCAGGAGAAGAGAAGGTTGAAGAGAGGGCAGGAGAAGAGAAGGTTGAAGAGAGGGCAGGAGAAGAGAAGGTTGAAGAGAGGGCAGGAGAAGAGAAGGTTGAAGAGAGGGCAGGAGAAGAGAAGGTTGAAGAGAGGGCAGGAGAAGAGAAGGTTGAAGAGAGGGCAGGAGAAGAGAAGGTTGAAGAGAGGGCAGGAGAAGAGAAGGTTGAAGAGAGGGCAGGAGAAGAGAAGGTTGAAGAGAGGGCAGGAGAAGAGAAGGTTGAAGAGAGGGCAGGAGAAGAGAAGGTTGAAGAGAGGGCAGGAGAAGAGAAGGTTGAAGAGAGGGCAGGAGAAGAGAAGGTTGAAGAGAGGGCAGGAGAAGAGAAGGTTGAAGAGAGGGCAGGAGAAGAGAAGGTTGAAGAGAGGGCAGGAGAAGAGAAGGTTGAAGAGAGGGCAGGAGAAGAGAAAGTTGAAGAGAGGGCAGGAGAAGAGAAGGTTGAAAAGAGGGCAGGAGAAGAGAAGGTTGAAAAGAGGGCAGGAGAAGAGAAGGTTGAAAAGAGGGCAGGAGAAGCGAAGGTTGAAAAGAGGGCAGGAGAAGCGAAGGTTGAAAAGAGGGCAGGAGAAGCGAAGGTTGAAAAGAGGGCAGGAGAAGAGAAGGTTGCAAAGAGGGCAGGAGAAGAGAAGGTTGGAAAGAGGGCAGGAGAAGAGAAGGTTGGAAAGAGGGCAGGAGAAGAGAAGGTTGGAAAGAGGGCAGGAGAAGAGAAGGTTGGAAAGAGGGCAGGAGAAGAGAAGGTTGGAAAGAGGGCAGGAGAAGAGAAGGTTGGAAAGAGGGCAGGAGAAGAGAAGGTTGAAGAGAGGGCAGGAGAAGAGAAGGTTGAAGAGAGGGCAGGAGAAGAGAAGGTTGAAGAGAGGGCAGGAGAAGAGAAGGTTGAAGAGAGGGCAGGAGAAGAGAAGGTTGAAGAGAGGGCAGGAGAAGAGAAGGTTGAAGAGAGGGCAGGAGAAGAGAAGGTTGAAGAGAGGGCAGGAGAAGAGAAGGTTGAAGAGAGGGCAGGAGAAGAGAAGGTTGAAGAGAGGGCAGGAGAAGAGAAGGTTGAAGAGAGGGCAGGAGAAGAGAAGGTTGAAGAGAGGGCAGGAGAAGAGAAGGTTGAAGAGAGGGCAGGAGAAGAGAAGGTTGAAGAGAGGGCAGGAGAAGAGAAGGTTGAAGAGAGGGCAGGAGAAGAGAAGGTTGAAGAGAGGGCAGGAGAAGAGAAGGTTGAAGAGAGGGCAGGAGAAGAGAAGGTTGAAGAGAGGGCAGGAGAAGAGAAGGTTGAAGAGAGGGCAGGAGAAGAGAAGGTTGAAGAGAGGGCAGGAGAAGAGAAGGTTGAAGAGAGGGCAGGAGAAGAGAAGGTTGAAGAGAGGGCAGGAGAAGAGAAGGTTGAAGAGAGGGCAGGAGAAGAGAAGGTTGAAGAGAGGGCAGGAGAAGAGAAGGTTGAAGAGAGGGCAGGAGAAGAGAAGGTTGAAGAGAGGGCAGGAGAAGAGAAGGTTGAAGAGAGGGCAGGAGAAGAGAAGGTTGAAGAGAGGGCAGGAGAAGAGAAGGTTGAAAAGAGGGCAGGAGAAGAGAAGGTTGAAGAGAGGGCAGGAGAAGAGAAGGTTGAAGAGAGGGCAGGAGAAGAGAAGGTTGAAAAGAGGGCAGGAGAAGCGAAGGTTGAAAAGAGGGCAGGAGAAGAGAAGGTTGGAAAGAGGGCAGGAGAAGAGAAGGTTGAAAAGAGGGCAGGAGAAGAGAAGGTTGAAAAGAGGGCAGGAGAAGAGAAGGTTGGAAAGAGGGCAGGAGAAGAGAAGGTTGGAAAGAGGGCAGGAGAAGAGAAGGTTGGAAAGAGGGCAGGAGAAGAGAAGGTTGGAAAGAGGGCAGGAGAAGAGAAGGTTGGAAAGAGGGCAGGAGAAGAGAAGGTTGAAGAGAGGGCAGGAGAAGAGAAGGTTGAAGAGAGGGCAGGAGAAGAGAAGGTTGAAAAGAGGGCAGGAGAAGAGAAGGTTGGAAAGAGGGCAGGAGAAGAGAAGGTTGAAAAGAGGGCAGGAGAAGAGAAGGTTGGAAAGAGGGCAGGAGAAGAGAAGGTTGGAAAGAGGGCAGGAGAAGAGAAGGTTGGAAAGAGGGCAGGAGAAGAGAAGGTTGGAAAGAGGGCAGGAGAAGAGAAGGTTGGAAAGAGGGCAGGAGAAGAGAAGGTTGGAAAGAGGGCAGGAGAAGAGAAGGTTGGAAAGAGGGCAGGAGAAGAGAAGGTTGGAAAGAGGGCAGGAGAAGAGAAGGTTGGAAAGAGGGCAGGAGAAGAGAAGGTTGGAAAGAGGGCAGGAGAAGAGAAGGTTGGAAAGAGGGCAGGAGAAGAGAAGGTTGGAAAGAGGGCAGGAGAAGAGAAGGTTGGAAAGAGGGCAGGAGAAGAGAAGGTTGGAAAGAGGGCAGGAGAAGAGAAGGTTGGAAAGAGGGCAGGAGAAGAGAAGGTTGGAAAGAGGGCAGGAGAAGAGAAGGTTGGAAAGAGGGCAGGAGAAGAGAAGGTTGGAAAGAGGGCAGGAGAAGAGAAGGTTGGAAAGAGGGCAGGAGAAGAGAAGGTTGGAAAGAGGGCAGGAGAAGAGAAGGTTGGAAAGAGGGCAGGAGAAGAGAAGGTTGGAAAGAGGGCAGGAGAAGAGAAGGTTGGAAAGAGGGCAGGAGAAGAGAAGGTTGGAAAGAGGGCAGGAGAAGAGAAGGTTGGAAAGAGGGCAGGAGAAGAGAAGGTTGAAAAGAGGGCAGGAGAAGAGAAGGTTGGAAAGAGGGCAGGAGAAGAGAAGGTTGAAAAGAGGGCAGGAGAAGAGAAGGTTGAAAAGAGGGCAGGAGAAGAGAAGGTTGGAAAGAGGGCAGGAGAAGAGAAGGTTGAAAAGAGGGCAGGAGAAGAGAAGGTTGAAAAGAGGGCAGGAGAAGAGAAGGTTGAAAAGAGGGCAGGAGAAGAGAAGGTTGAAGAGAGGGCAGGAGAAGAGAAGGTTGGAAAGAGGGCAGGAGAAGAGAAGGTTGGAAAGAGGGCAGGAGAAGAGAAGGTTGGAAAGAGGGCAGGAGAAGAGAAGGTTGGAAAGAGGGCAGGAGAAGAGAAGGTTGGCATGTCCGCCTCTCCGCCTCTATTTTCCCCATGGCATGTCGGATAAACGCGTCGTTGTTCTTGCCCCGGGTCAGCACACTATCTGACCGTGTAAACGCAGCCCTGTTGCTGCGGCCAGGCTGTTCCCCAACGTCTGATGTCGTTGCCAGCAGTGGGAACGCGCCCTTAGCTTCCTCCTCTCGCAGGTGCTTCAGGAAATAGTGCCTTCGAATAAGAACCGGGACGAGCGAAGTGAAAATGGCACTGCCTATCATCATGAGCAGCAGCAGCAGGACCTGATCAAATGTGGAAAAAACATTCATACGGACGGACGCGAGGCCTGTAACGGTCAGTGCAGACGTGCAGTTAAAGAGTGCGTCTATAAAGGAGATTTTTCCCAGGCTGCCGGCAGGAGTGGCGATCATAATTAGCGCAGCGATAAGATCAACTATAACAAAGGAGAGGAAGTGGATTCGATAGAAGGTCACTTGATTGCGGAGCCACGCGAGGAACGAACGTCCATTGACGTGCTTGAAACGGTGCCAGAGTGCAGGTGAATTCTCAGGGTGCTCAGGAGGGTTGTTGATGGAGACAGAGTGAAGCCAGTGTCCAATTTTGAAACGAAGAGAGCCGCCTGAAGAGTTTGCCGTGTCTGGCATGACCTTGCTTTGCTCTTCCGCCATAGGAATCCTGATTCTCCGTTCATGATTAGTAGTTACACGCAGGGAAATGCATGATAAAACATTGAAAGAAGAGAACATTTTCGGCGTTGACTCCATTACGCCAGGTTCGAAAGCTAGAAAAAAACTTTGAAAATGAAAAAGGAGGAAAAAAAAAACAAACAAACCAACAAAAGAACTTCGTGGGAACGACCTGATGATGGCAATGACCAGGCTTGACGAAATGTGGTTAGATAATGCAGAATTGACACCATTGGTGAAGTCAACAGAACGCGACAGCACGGTAAGACCATACCTTGGTCCTAATGCTTCGGTTTCGGTTTCTTCTACGTCCCGCGTCGTTGCTGTCGTCATTTAGTAAATTAAAACCTATAGTCTGATTTTTGCTATTTATCTTAACTACGCACTTCTAATGAGAACCCGGCAAGCAAGCTTTTCAAGAGATAGACGTGCCTTCTACCGACTACTTCTGACAACCTACAACACATGACTGCCAATGCACGTGACAGGTTTCAGAACTAAAATCGCCTCACATGCTCCATGTACATCAGGAGGATGGATGATCAGAAGAACCAGAGCCAAGGTCCAGACACCAGAGTTGGTGTTCATGAAAGTTCGTTACAGTTCACCCATGAATGTTCAGGCTGCTGCTGAGCTGAGTAGAGGAGTTCAAAGTTGTGAAGGGGTGAAACCGCTTCATCGTACTCAACCGTTTCCAATAAGCAAATTAACGAGCCCGAGCTCACGACGAACAATGTACGCGGCAGGGCATTCTCCATTGTCATACAGGTACGGTTTCTACAACCCAGCTCAAGCATCAAATACACAAACGAATGTGGCTTCGGTACCTGTGTGTAGAGGATAATGAGGTGCAGTTATGTGCTCCCACCTCCAATGCACTCGTCACGTCGTCCTCATTGCACGTCGTTCTCCTCACTACGCACACTCCCTTCCCACGGCGGGCGGGTTTGGTTGTGAGGTCTCGTTTCAAGAAGTGCAGCTCGATTGGGTTGGTCAGATGGTTTGCGTTGAAGAGTGGTATCGAATATTTTAGAACGGTTGAGTAGAGTCTGCGAAAAGGCTCCAACGTAGCCACCGTGTGGGACAAAGGCGTTGTCTCGTTCTGGCTGCTGTGTGTCTGACTGAACAGTTGAGTTATACTGTAGTCCAGGTTACTACCGTACAGTTGCTCTTTTTGGGCAGCCCTCCGAAGTGTACAGTCGGTTCTCATTTCAAGAACACCAGGTAGCGGGCGGCATGTGCGTGAAACGTGTTTCAAGCATTTCGCCACATTCGCCCTTGTCGCCACGGGCAAAAGGTGACTGTAATATGAAATTGCATTGTGAATCGAGGTAAGGGTTTTAATTTCGTAACCATGTATACTTTTCAGATGACGGGCAACCGTTGTTGTTTATGAACTGTAGATGTTTTTCTTCCTCAACTTGGTGACTGTACCCCGAAATCGGCACAATGGTCAATTTAGTCACTCACGGGAAAAACGTTCGCGAGTGACTGAATTTCTAATTATAAGGATCAAATGTTTTGTGATGGGCTGAGCATCGACTGTATACAGTAAGCCATCCGAATTACTGTACAGTTCTCAACGAAAGTCAACTCCCCAATCAAAACTTTGGATGAGTTGTGGTCAGGAAAATGTTCCCCACCCTCGCAGCCTTGGGATTGAAAACCTTGTTGGAAGCCCAAGCACACGGAGTTGTGTGTCTGGGATTGCAACTCTTCGGTTCAGTCTGGTCTGCCATGGTCAGAAATGGTGGTAACTAAGCACCCTACTTTGACTGTGGTGAAATGAAACCGCAACAACGAACCGCGCTTCATGACCAGAGCAGGACTTGCGGAAGCATTATTTCGCCTAGTGTGTGTAGGCTAGGACGTCTTTACAACTCATCCATTCTGACCTAGAATCTAAAGCAGGAAACAAGCGTCTCACACTTTTCACGGGATGCTGCTCCGAATAAAAAACTTCGTTTGTGGTCCAACATTTCGTCAAACATCATCCGGCTTGCGGTAGTCGCACCGCTATTTAGCTACGATTCAGGTTCTTTTGACATTGCGGTACGGCGCATGTTCTCGAATGTGTCGATAGTATTCAAGTTAGGTCATTTCTACTGCGTCACCAGCACGTGCTGAGCCAACGGGAGTCTGCAACCGACACTCATGCGTAAACGAGTTTTCTCTGTCAGCCCTATGCCATTGTTCTCGTCCTAACCCAACCATCCACATGGCCGGGGTGAGTGAGTTTCCGAAGCTGTTGCGGTCGCTTAGCACTGGTGCGCGACCCTCGCAGTCCTCTCGTAGAGCCTCGCGCTGACCTCTGAGTCGACCAAAAAGTCATGCTGGGTGTGGCGGGACTGCCGAAGCTGTCACGGTCACTTAGTATTGATGAGGAACCCTCTCAGTCCGCTCGTAGGACCTCGCGAGACAGAGACACGAGAGATGAAGAAAAGAGAGAGAGGGAGAAGAGCGGGCGAGGGGAGGTGACAGGCCGAGCAGCTTCACGAAATCTTAATCCGTCGCACAGCGGCTGTGCGACAACCACTGGCGACTCGAGCGACCGCGAGAGGGTATCCTTCCGCAGCGACGCGGAGCTCGATGCGCTTCATGGCTGCGGCAACGGCCATGGCTTCTTCTGCGTTCCCTGCCTGCAGCCTCTCATCTCCCGCGAAATGCGCTCCAACCCCTCTGACGCGCCTGACTCGTCTCTCACGCCTAACCCTTCCCGCACGCCTGATGCTTCCCCCGCGCCTAACTTTCTCCGCTCGCCTAACCCTTTCCGCTCGCCTGATTCCTTTCGCGCGCCTGATTCCCTCCGCGCGCCTGACTCCTTCCGAGCGGCTGACTCCTTCCGCGCGCCCGATTCTTCCCGCGCGCCTGATTCCTCCCTCACCTCTCTCAGCTCGCGCAACTTGGCCGCTTCCATCGGGCCTGGCGGCAGTAGTAGGCGCAATCGTCACCGTCAGCAGCACGGACGGTCACGATCTGCTGCGGCGCTCGAGCCGATTCCGCGTTCTCCAGCGACATTAGCGGGGCAGCACTCTGCTGGTCTTCGCAGCCCCGGTCTAGACTCCGTTAACCTTCGCTCTGTCGGCAATAGTAGCCGGGGTGTGCAATCAGACCGTCCCGACTCTGCTGAGCGACAGGAAGCGTCGTCCGGGCGACTGGAAGCGTCATCGTGGCGACAGGAAGCGTCGTCTTGGCGACAGGAAGCGTCGTCTTGGCGACAGGATGCGTCTTCTGGGCGGCTGGAAGCGTCGTCTGGGCGGCTGGAAGCGTCGTCTGGGCGGCTGGAAGCGTCGTCTAGGCGACTGGAAGTGTCGTCTGATCGACTAGAAGGTGTTTTCGAGATGTTAGACGGAGAGGCGGGGCTGGTGGGGGAAGCGTCTGGGCGATCCGAAGAGTCGCATGGGCGACGGAGTGTCGCAGGCGACGCGGCGAGCGATATGAGCGCGTCGTCGAGACCAGTGGGAGCAGCGGAAAGCAGTTCACACGGTGAGGGTGGTGAGATCAGACCGGACGGCCGACTAGACGACGAACATAGGGACGAAATCAGGCCTGACGGACAAACAGACGACGAGGTTGACGTTAACGGAAAACGTCAACGTTCTGGCAGGCGGGCATCACGGTTGCGAGTGAGGTGGGGGCCAGACTCACCCGACAGGGATACCCCGGGAGAACAGGGCAAGCCAAAATCACGGCTGCGAGTGAGGTGGGGGCCAGACTCACCCGACAGGGATACCCCGGGGGCAGCGGGAGAGGGCTGGGGTGGTATAGTTGGTGCGAGCAGCAGGAGCTTCAGGCATGTAGCAAGCTTTCTCCAGAATTCCTGGCGCCAGGATTTGCCTGACTCGCCCCCGAGCGAACGCGAGGAGGAGAAGAGAGAGGGAATTGGGGAGGAGGGCGGAGGGAGCAGCGAGGAGAGCAGGGTGTTGAAAAGGAGAAGGGGGCGGGGATTGCGAGGGTTGCAAGGAGGGAGAGGAGGGAGAGGAGAGGACGGAGAGAGGGGAGGTGGGTGCTGGTCAAACCCGGCATGGGCTACGTACCTGAACCAGCCCGTACCTGAGAAGGTTGGGCCCGTGCCGTCCACCCCGCCTCGGAAGGAGGCCGGGCTGTGCTACGTGCTGTATCGGTGGGTTCTGGCGGCGATGAGGCGAATGCGCATCCCCATCATTCACCCCTACTCAAGGTTCCGCCGAGACATCAACGTGCTCGTGGGCGCCTGTATTCTCTACAACGTGGTGAGCTTGTGAGGAGGGGGAGGAAGAGGGGGGGGGGGGGGGGGGGGGGGGGGGGGGGGGGGGGGGGGGGGGGGGGGGGGGGGGGGGGTGTTATGCGCATCCCCATCATTCACCCCTACTCAAGGTTCCGCCGCGACATCAATGTGCTTGTGGGCGCCTGCATTCTCTACAACATGGTGAGCTTGTGAGGAGGGGGAGGAGAGGCGAGGGGGGGTGGTGGAACGTGCTGTACTGGGGGGTGCTGGGGGCGATGAGAAGGATGCGAGGTGTTGAGGCGAATGCGCATCCCCCATCATTCACCCGTACCCGAGGTTCCGCCTTGGACCTGCGCTCCACTCTCTTATACCACCTACAAGCCACCCTCTCCCATGTGTCTCTCTCTCCACGCCCTCTCCCATGTGTCTCTCTCTCCACGCCCTCTCCCATGTGTCTCTCTCTCCACGCCCTCTCCCATGTGTCTCTCTCTCCACGCCCTCTCCCATGTGTCTCTCTCTCCACGCCCTCTCCCTTGTGTCTCTCTCTCCACGCCCTCTCCCTTGTGTCTCTCTCTCCACGCCCTCTCCCTTGTGTCTCTCTCTCCACGCCCTCTCCCTTGTGTCTCTCTCTCCACGCCCTCTCCCATGTGTCTCTCTCTCCACGCCCTCTCCCTTGTGTCTCTCTCTCCACGCCCTCTCCCGTGTGCCCCTCTCCACCCTGTGCGCCCCTCCCGCCCCGCCCGCCAGTGGGAGATTCTCTTCCAGATCGCCTTTGGCCTGCGCTCCACAGGCGCATGGCGCATCCTCCACTCCACACTCTCATGTCAACCCACCCTCACCCATACCCTCTCCCACACCCTCTTCCATGTGCCCCTCCCCTCCCCTCTCACCTCCCGCCCGCCAGTGGGAGATTCTCTTCCAGATCGCCTTTGACCTGCGCTCCACGGGTGCATGGCTCATCGTCGACTCAACCCTCTCCGCCATCTACCTCATCGACGTGCTCCTGGGCTTTAAGACCGGGTGAGCCTTTCATCTCTCTCTCTCTCTCGCTTTCACTCTTTCTCGCTGGAGTGAATGGCTAGCTGACCCTCACTGCGCACCTGCCCCCTCCTCCACTCTACTCTCTCCGCCATCTTCCTCGTCGACGTGTTCCTGGGGTTCAAAACCGGGTACGGCTTTCACTTCCTCACTTCCGTGCGATCATTACCAGCTCACCCTCACCGCTCTCAGGCAGCGAGGTGACTTTTGAGTCGACTCAAAAGTCACCTGATTACCAGCTCACCCTCACGGCTCTCCGGCAGCATGGCTATCCTCCACTCCACCCTCTCCGCCATCTACCTCATAGACGTCCTCCTGGGCTTCAAGACTGGGTGAGTCCTTCACTTTATGGAGCAGATCGCTTGCTTACCTCCATGAATCCGCTTTTGAGTCGACTCAAAAGCACTTTATGGAGCAGATCGCTTGCTTACCTCCATGAATCCGCTTTTGAGTCGACTCAAAAGCACTTTATGGAGCAGATCGCTTGCTTACCTCCATGAATCCGCTTTTGAGTCGACTCAAAAGCACTTTATGGAGCAGATCGCTTGCTTACCTCCATGAATCCGCTTTTGAGTCGACTCAAAAGCACTTTATGGAGCAGATCGCTTGCTTACCTCCATGAATCCGCTTTTGAGTCGACTCAAAAGCACTTTATGGAGCAGATCGCTTGCTTACCTCCATGAATCCGCTTTTGAGTCGACTCAAAAGCACTTTATGGAGCAGATCGCTTGCTTACCTCCATGAATCCGCTTTTGAGTCGACTCAAAAGCACTTTGTGGAGCAGATCGCTTGCTTACCTCCATGAATCCGCTTTTGAGTCGACTCAAAAGCACTTTATGGAGCAGATCGCTTGCTTACCTCCATGAATCCGCTTTTGAGTCGACTCAAAAGCACTTTATGGAGCAGATCGCTTGCTTACCTCCATGAATCCGCTTTTGAGTCGACTCAAAAGCACTTTGTGGAGCAGATCGCTTGCTTACCTCCATGAATCCGCTTTTGAGTCGACTCAAAAGCACTTTATGGAGCAGATCGCTTGCTTACCTCCATGAATCCGCTTTTGAGTCGACTCAAAAGCACTTTATGGAGCAGATCGCTTGCTTACCTCCATGAATCCGCTTTTGAGTCGACTCAAAAGCACTTTATGGAGCAGATCGCTTGCTTACCTCCATGAATCCGCTTTTGAGTCGACTCAAAAGCACTTTGTGGAGCAGATCGCTTGCGTACCTCCATGAATCGCTCCCTGAATCCTCACTGCAGGTATGTGACGTGGGAGCGGCATGTATGCACAGAGAATGGCATCAAGATGATTCCTGCTGCTCTTGCTTAGTCCACCAAAAAAAAAACACTTCTCTCTGCTGCTTGCTTGCTTGCTTGCCTCTGTAAATCCCTGAATTTCTGAATCCCCGCGACAGTTACGTGACAAGAGAACGGCATGTGCGCACAAGCGACGGCATCAAGATATTGCAGCCGCAGCAGATTGTCCTGGAGCAGGTGCGATGGGGGTGAGGGGGTGCGGTGAGGTGGGGTGGGGTGGGGTGGGGTGGGGTGGGGTGGGGTGGGGTGGGGTGGGGGAGGTGAAAGGGGTGGCGAAGTGAGGGTGTGGGAGGAGGAGTTGAGCAGCGTGACTGCACAAGGGATGGCATCAAGATCTTACAGCCGCAGCAGATTGTCCTGGACCAGGTGCGTTGTGGGGGGGGTGGGGTCTAGATGGAGGGCAAGGTGGAAGGGTTGAAATGAGTGTGTGGGAGGAAAATCCTGCAGCTGCAGCAGATTGATCTGGAGCAGGTGGGTTGTAGTGCGGGAGGGTAGATGGTGGGGGGGGGGGGGAAGGTGGAAAGTGTGGAGTGAGTGTGTGGGAGGGGGGAGGAGGAGTTGAGCAGCGTGTGGCTGCTGCACAGAGACGATTTTTGAGTCGACTCAAAAGTTGAGCAGCGTGTGGCTGCTGCACAGAGACGATTGTTGAGTCGACTCAAAAGTTGAGCAGCGTGTGGCTGCTGCACAGAGACGATTTTTGAGTCGACTCAAAAGTTGAGCAGCGTGTGGCTGCTGCACAGAGACTGGCATCAAGTTCTTGCTTGCAGTCGCACCAGATTGAACCTAAGTTGGATTTTACGTTTACGGTTTGTTACGTTTTCGTTTATTTACGACGTTTTTTACGTTTACGAACGTGGATTCGACCCTAGGTTTACAGTCACCAGAAAACCTTTTTTGGGCTGCCCGAGGAAAAAAAAAACCAGAGTACTAGGGAGACTCATTCTGTAGGCATCATGTCAACTTTGAAGAAAAAATAATACCCTAGACACAAAATCCAGTTAGAGGCAGCACCCCATCTCTACTCCTCCTCCTCCTCCTCCTCCTCCTCCTCCTCCTCCTCCTCCTCCTCCTCCTCCTCCTCCTCCCCCTCCCCCTCCTCCTCCTCCTCCTCCTCCTCCTCCCCCTCCCCCCCCCCCCACCTCCCCCTCCCTAACACAACACGGTCATCTCCCTCCCACCTATATCCTTAACTCGCTATCTTGTTCGACGTCAACCTACCAGCTCGTTCGTATCCTATCGTATTCCTCTCCTACTAGTCAACGCTGAATCTTTTCACGGACTCGAAAGGCGCTCCATACCTAGTAAAATCGCTATTCTAGAAATGCACATGGCGGATTAGTAGTAGGGTCTAGTACCCGTACATAATCCAGGGAAAAAAAATACCCTAAACCCTAAACTTTTTTTTACGCTGCCCACCTCAGACTTACGCGTAACTTAACGTTCGTAAACGAAAACGTAGAATTTCGCGAAATTTACGTTTACGAGACCTCAAAAAACGTGAGTGCCCAACTTAGGATTCAACCACCCCACTCACATCAGCTCCACATAGTGTGGCACTACCTGCGCACGTGGTTCCTGCTCAACCTCCTCTCATCGCTCCCCATGGAACTCACCACCCCATCTCTTCCTCTTCCCCTTCCCCTCCCCCTGCCCCTGGACCTTGCGCCTTCCCTTCCCTTTGTCCTCTCTTCCCTGCCCCCATCGCCCCTACTCCTCTCATCAGCGCCGCATAGTGCGGCACTACCTGCGCACGTGGCTCCTGCTCGATCTCCTCTCATTGCTGCCCATGGATGGATCTCATCATCTCCCTTTCCTTCTCCTGCATCCTCGCCCCTCTGTGTCCTTGCAACCCCCACCTCGTCCCCCTTTCCCCACATCAGCGCCGCATAGTGTGGCACTACCTGCGCACGTGGTTCCTGCTCGACCTCCTCTCCTCGCTACCCATGGACCTCATCATCTCCCTCACCACCACCTCCTCCTCCGGCTTCTGGATCTCCACTGTGAGTGCCCGAGAGAGCTTGAGTGCTGCCAGGGGTGCTAATTGCACCTTTAATGAAGGCCATTTCATCTTCCATCATCTCATCATCTCCCTCACCACTACCTCCTCCTCCGGCTTCTGGGTCTCCACCGTGAGTGCTCGAAGGGGGTGCCGTGGGAGTGCTTGAGCTTTTGAGTTTGCTCACCACCAACCCCCCCTCCACGCACCCCTATCCGCTCATGCTCATCCCCATCCTCTCCTTGCTCCCCATGGATTTAATCATCTCCCTCATCACCACCCCCCTGTCTCCAGGTGTTCCGAGCGCTGAAGCTCTTCCGCATGCGCCGTCTGCTGAACGCCACGGCACGGACCAGCTCAGAACCTCATGCTGTCCCCCTTTGAGCCATGCTCCCCATGCCCCCCCCCCCCCCCCTCAGGTGTTCCGAGCGCTGAAGCTCTTCCGCATGCGCCGTCTGCTGAACGCCACGGCACGGACTAGCTCAGAACCTCATGCTGTCCCCCTTTGAGCCATGCTCCCCATGCCCCCCCCCCCCTCAGGTGTTCCGAGCGCTGAAGCTCTTCCGCATGCGCCGCCTGCTGAACGCCACGGACCAGCTCAGAACGTCCTTCGTGCGCTCCACGTGGATGGAGCTCACCGTGCTCATCCTGCAGGTGGGTGGGTCGATGAAGGGTGCGAAGCCACGCGCCCTGCAGGTGGGTGGGTGGATCGGTGCAAAGCCCACGTGGGTGGGTGAATTGGTGCAAGGCCCACGTGGGTGGGTGAATTGGTGCAAGGCCCATGTGGGTGGGTGAATTGGTGCAAGGCCCATGTGGGTGGGTGAATTGGTGCAAGGCCCATGTGGGTGGGTGGGTGGGTGGGTGGGTGGGTGGGTGGGTGGGTGGGTGGGTGGGTGGGTGGGTGGGTGGGTGGGTGGGTGGGTGGGTGGGTGGGTGGGTGGGTGGGTGGGTGGGTGGGTGGGTGGGAGTCTCTCTCTCCATCCTGCAGGCGACTGGGTGCGGTGCTGCCTGAGCGTGGGTGGGTCCTCTGGACCCATCCTCATTGTTCAAGTCCGTGGGTGGGTCCTCTGGACCCATCCTCATTGTTCAAGTCCGTGGGTGGGTCCGCACACTTGAGGATCTGCTTCCTCATCCTGCATTCCGCCATCTACACCATCTCCCTGCTCTGTCTGTCTGCCCCTTCTTCTGCCGCACATCCGCATGCTCCGCCTCGTGGGCGTGTGCGTGCTTTTCAGCTGCCGCAAAGCTCCCCATTGAGTCCCCCCCCTCTGTACACTCACTCAGTCCCTCCCCTTCTCACTCGCTAACTGCTCTACCCCAGATCTGCATGTTTTGCCATGTGGGCGCGTGCGCCTTTGCTCTGATTGGCCGGCTCGAGCCAGAGGGCCAATCGTGGCTCGCCAACTTCTTCTGGGACGACAACGGGGAGGCGCAGCCTCTGGAAACGGCGCCGCCACTTGTCGCCTACGTGGCGGCCATCTATTGGTCCATGGTCACATTTGCCTCGGTGAGTTTTCCTGCACATGCCTACTGGATATTGTGATACCACTTATCGCCTACGTGGCACCCACCTATTGGTCCATGGTCACCCTGCCTCGGTGAGATCTCATCCCCTCTTCGTTCGTCCTTCTCCTCTCATCCCTTTCCTCTCATCCCTTTCCTCTCATCCCTTTCCTCTCATCCCTTTCCTTTCATCCCTTTCCTCTCATCCCTTTCCTTTCATCCCTTTCCTCTCATCCCTTTCCTCTCATCCCTTTCCTTTCATCCCTTTCCTCTCATCCCTTTCCTCTCATCCCTTTCCTCTCATCCCTTTTCTCTCATCCCTTTCCTCTCATCCCTTTCCTCTCATCCCTTTCCTCTCATCCCTTTCCTCTCATCCCTTTCCTCTCATCCCTTTCCTCTCATCCCTTTCCTCTCATCCCTTTCCTTTCATCCCTTTCCTCTCGTCCCTTTCCTTTCATCCCTTTCCTCTCATCCCTTTCCTCTCATCCCTTTCCTCTCATCCCTTTCCTTTCATCCTACAACCTGCTCACAACCATCGTGCTGGGCTGTGCTGCGGTGTGACGTGACCTCTCTCATCCCACACCCTCATGCCCCACTCTCCTTACTCCATGCACTTCATTCATGTTCTTTCTATGTTCATGGTTCTCTTCGTGTGCAGGTGGGGTACGGAGACATCTACCCGCAGGACACCATCCCAGAGCGCATCTTTGGCAAGCATGCTCAGGGCCATGCTCTCTATTCCTCCCTCCCTCCATGCCTCATTGCATGCACTTCATTCATATGCTCACACTGCAGGTGGGCTACGGAGACATCTACCCGCAGGACACCATCCCAGAGCGCATCTTTGGCACCATTTACAACCTGCTCGCAGCTATCATGCTGGGTTACGCTGTCGGTCAAATTACCTCTTTAATCTATGCCAGCAGGTAATAACCTCCTTAATCTAGTCTATCGGGGTGAGTGCTTAATCTACTCCTGCCGCCATGCACCCGTCATTCTACGCTACACTGTCAGCCACTCTCGCAGAAGCCAGTGCCGTGCCGTCATGGTTTTTTTGTCATTCTTGTGCCAGGCCTCGTCTGACCGCTTTTGACCGCTTCTGACCTCTTTCTAACCTCTGCTTCTGCCACTATCCTTGCCTCTGCTGCTGTCTCTGCCTGTGCTTCTGCCTGTGCGTCCACCCCCACAGGGAGCGTCGGGAGAATGCAAGGCAGCGATTTGGAACACTCCACAAGTGCGTGCCTCCCCTCTCCCCTTTGCCCTCGTCATTCCATGCTCGGGAGCTATCCACATGTTACGAGTCTGTACAGTGCACACCCCCTCTTGGTTTCCTACCCATCTCCCCGTCCCCATCCCTCTCCCGTCTCCGTCCCCTCTCCCGTCACCTGTCTCCGTCCCCTCTCCCGTCACCTGTCTGCATCCCTCTCCTCCCCCGAAATCCTCCCTTCCAAACACTCTAGAACCCATATCCTCCCTCATCTCCCTCCCTCATGTCCCCCCAATGCCTGCCCGCCTGCCCGCCTGCCTACGTGTTGCCAGGTTCATCGAGAGGGAGGAGCTGCCAGAGTGGCTGGCCAACCGCCTGGTAAGCCTTTTATACGGTTCGGCTGGAATCGGTTAATCAAACCCGCTTGGTACCCGCTTAGGCCTTATAGAACTCTGAAGAATGACCCAGATGTACCCGCCCTGCTTGGTACCCGCTTAGGCCTTATAGAACTCTGAAGAATGACTCAGATGTACCCGCCCTGCTTGGTACCCGCTTAGGCCTTATAGAACTCTGAAGAATGACTCAGATGTACCCGCCCTGCTTGGTACCTGCTTAGAATTCTTTCTGCTCTCAGCTTGTTCTGGCTGCGTTTACCTGCCAGTGAGTGAGATGACTCCGTTTGTGGTCCTGTTGTTTCTCCCCCCCAGATGGTGCATCTCACGCGCCAGTGGCAGACGCAGATCAACTGCAACAGGGGATTGCTTCCTCATCTTTCCTCCCCCTCTCCCCCCTCTCCTTTCCCCCTCCCCCTCTTCCCCTCTCCCCTCGGCCCCAGATGGTGCATCTCACCCGCCAGTGGCAAGCGCAGCTCTCGCAGAAGTTTGACGAGTTCGAGCTCATGGAGAGCCTCACGGTGAGATGCTCATGGAGACGAGTCGTATGGTGCGAGGCTTATGAGTTGATCGTGGTGAGACGAGTCGTATGGTGCGAGGCTTATGAGCTGATCGTGGTGAGACGAGTCGTATGGTGCGAGGCTTATGAGCTGATCATGGTGAGTGGTTTCATGGTGTGAGCCTCATGATTTGAAACGCGTGTTGTAGCCTCCCAAGTGCCGCCAGTGGCTCATAGTGTGAGGGCTCATTGTGTGAGGGCTCATAGTGTGAGGGCTCATTGTGTGAGGGCTCATTGTGTGAGGGCTCATTGTGTGAGGGCTCATAGTGTGAGGGCTCATTGTGTGAGGGCTCATTGTGTGAGGGCTCATAGTGTGAGGGCTCATTGTGTGAGGGCTCATAGTGTGAGGGCTCATTGTGTGAGGGCTCATAGTGTGAGGGCTCATTGTGTGAGGGCTCATTGTGTGAGGGCTCATAGTGTGAGGGCTCATTGTGTGAGGGCTCATAGTGTGAGGGCTCATTGTGTGAGGGCTCATTGTGTGAGGGCTCATTGTGTGAGGGCTCATAGTGTGAGGGCTCATTGTGTGAGGGCTCATTGTGTGAGGGCTCATAGTGTGAGGGCTCATTGTGTGAGGGCTCATAGTGTGAGGGCTCATAGTGTGAGGGCTCATTGTGTGAGGGCTCATAGTGTGAGGGCTCATTGTGTGAGGGCTCATAGTGTGAGGGCTCATTGTGTGAGGGCTTGTAGCATGAGGGGTTAAGGAGACGCTCACGGTGAGAAGAATATGGGCCGTGATTCTGTAGTGTGTGAAAGCTCTTGGAGACCCCTTGGCAGTTAGAGTCATTTGAGAGGTCAAGAGATTCGTGTTTTCTGCTGCTTTGTGCGTGCCCAAATCCGACGGTCGTTGTTTATGCTGGCCCAAATCCAACGGTGGTCTGTGTGGTGGCTGTGTGTGGCAGGAGGACCTTCGGGGGGACCTCTTTGTGCACTGGTGGCAGCGCAGCATTGCCGTGAGGTGAGTGGGGCAATGCGGTGCAGTGCGGTGAGGGCTATTGCAGTGCGGTGAGGGCTATTGCAGTGCGGTGAGGGCTATTGCAGTGCGGTTGAGGTGCATAGACAATACACCTCTTTGAGGTCCCCTACTCTCCTCCCCATATTCCCAGTCCCATCTTCCCGCACAGCCACGCGTTTATACCTGGGCGGCTGGGAGCGCTGGTGTTAAGTCTTGTTCCTTTTGAGAATTGTCAAAAGACCTCAGAATAAATTCGCCTTCCCTGTGCCTCCTCAATTCCGTACTGTGTCCCATCCTCCTCCCATGCCCCCAGCCCCATTCTGCCACAGAACAAACCTGCCAGCCATGCGCCTATAGCGAAGCTGCTGGGGGCGCTGGTGTTTAGAACAAACTCCCATACCCATTCCCTGCTGTGCCCTCTCCCCTTGCTCGGCCAGCCCTGTTCTCCCACACAGCCACGCGTTTATAGCAAAGCTGCTGGGAGCGCTGGTGTTGAGGAGAGTGGCAGCAGGGGAATTCATCTGTGCAGAGTATACATGTGCAAAGCAACGAGCCGAGTTTCACTCGGCTCGTCCCTGGGCACACTTGTATGAGTAATGTCACGAGCCGAGTTTAGCTCGTCCGAGTTTTTTCAGGGGAAACTCAAGCTCGTGACTCGTCTCTTGTCACGAGCTTTTAAAAGGCTCGTCCGAGCTTCGCTCGGCTCGTTGCCCTATACCAGCATGTACATGCCTAATTTTGTGAACCTGCTGCCTAATAAGATACCCTGCAAACATCAAATCAATATACCAATATCCAGACCAGGTCAATCGCCCTGGAGAGCGTCAATTCTGGGTGGGGGATCAATTCTGAGCGTCAATTCTGGGTGGGGGATCGCAACACCAGCCCACGCAACGAGTGCTCGGCGAGTTTTAAAAACTAAACTCGCCTCGGCTCGGACGAGTGGTTTTCACGGAAAATCAAACTCGTCACTCACTCGCCCTCGAACGAGTACGAGCCTCGTACGAGCCGAGGCGAAAAGCTTGCCTCGTTGCACATGTATAGTGCGGAGGGCGAGGTGAGCCGCCACCTCTACATCCCTCTCGTTTTGAGGCGCCTCAAAACTGAGCCGCCACCTCTACATCCCTCTCTCCCTCCCCCCCCTCCTTCCCCACCTCTACATCCCTCTCTCCCTCCCCCCCCCTCCTTCCCCACCTCTACATCCCTCTCTCCCTCCCCCCCCTCCTTCCCCACCTCCCATTCCCCCAGCCCCATCCTCCCGCACAGCCATGGCTTTATAGCGAAGCTGCTGGGGGCGCTGGTGTTGAGGCAAGTGGCGGCAGGGGAATTCATCTGTGCTGAAGGGGAGGTGAGCCGGCTCCTCTACATCCCTCTCTCCCTCCCCCCCTCCCTCCCTCCCTCCTTGCTCCCCCTTCCATTTCCCCAGCCCCATCCTCCCACACAGCCATGCGTTTATTGCAAAACTTTTGGATGCTTTGGTCCTGAGGAGAGTAGCAGCGGGGGAATTCATCTGTGCTGAAGGGGAGGTGAGCCGGCACCTCTACATCCTGCGCGCCGGCACTGCTGATGCCACGTGGATTAAGAGTCCCGAGGACGAGGAGGGGGATGGAATGGGGGTGATTAAGGAGGAGGGGGATGGAATGGGGGTGATTAAGGAGGAGGGGGAGGAGGGTGGAGTGGGGGAGATTATGGACGAGGGAGAAGAGGAGGGGAAGGAGGGGACGGGGGAGGTTGGGGAGAGGTGGGGGGACGAGGAAGAGGACGGGGGAGAGGGTGGTGGTGGTGGGTGGAGAGGGGGAGGAGGAGGAGGAGGAGGAGGAGGCGGAGGAGTAGGAGGAGGAGGAGGAGGAGGAGGAGGAGGAGGAGGAGGAGGAGGAGGAGGAGGAGGAGGAGGAGGAGGAGGAGGAGGAGGAGGAGGAAGTAGAGGAGGAGGGGGGGGAAAGGAGTGGGGAGGGAGGTGTTGAGAATGAAGAGGAAAACCTCGAGTCAGATTCGGGAGGAGAAGAGGTACTGACCAGCACTCGCTTTCTGCCTATTAGGAATAAAATAGGTTTGCTTCCCTCCGTTTGTAAAGCCTAGACAAAGTGCACCAAACACACTTCTCTGCCACGCCAAAATGATCCCTCCCTCCCTCCCTCCCTCCCTCCCTCCCTCCCTCCCTCCCTCCCTCCCTCCCTCCCTCCCTCCCTCCCTCCCTCCCTCCCTCCCTCCCTCCCTCCCTCCCTCCCTCCCTCCCTGCCTCCCTCCCTCCCTCCCTCCCTCCCTCCCTCCCTCCCTCCCTCCCTCCCTCCCTCCCTCCCTCCCTCCCTCCCTCCCTGCCTCCCTCCCTCCCTCCCTCCCTCCCTCCCTCCCTCCCTCCCTCCCTCCCTCCCTCCCTCCCTCCCTCCTCTCCTCCCTTGCCCTGCCAGCCCCTCTGCCTCTCTCCTCCGCTCCACCCCCCCTCCTTACCCCTTTCAGAACAACTCTACCCTCCCACCCGCCCTCTCGCCCCTCGTCCCAGCAGCACCCCTTCGTCCCGGGGAACCGCTCGGCCTCTCTCCTCCGCTCCGACTCACAGTGCCGCCACCATTGTCCCTCTCCTCCGTTCCACTCCCCCTTCTTTTCAGCACACTTCTTCCTTCCCTCTCTCCCTCACTCCCTCTTCCGCCCCCCCTCGCCCCAGCAGCACCCCTTTGTCCCGTTGAACCGCTCTGCGTCTCTCCTCTGCTCCACTCCCCCTTCTTTTCAGCACACTTCTTCCCCACTTTCCCTCCCACCCGCCCTCTCGCCCCTCGTCCCAGCAGCACCCCTTTGTCCCGGTGAACCGCTCGGCCTCTCTCCTGCGCTCCGACTCACAGCGCCGGCTGCGCCGCTTCCTCTCCCGCTCCCGCCAACTGTCCCTCCGTTTGACCCCCGGGCAAGCCCTCAACACACCCGGCGCTTTCCCGGGTAACCCGGCAACCGCTCCCGGCTCCCACGGGAATCCCCTAGCACTGGCAGCAGCGGCCGCGATGGCAGCAGGAGTGCCAGAACCTCCCAAGAATCCTCTAGAAGTAGCGTTGGAGCAAGGGGGAGGGAACATGGAGATGGAGCATCGGGCGGTGGGGACCGGGTTTGTGATGGGCATGGAAGGGTTGCTGGAGGCGTTTGAAACGCGCATGGACGAGGAGGAATGGCCGAAACAGCGGGTTGCTCTTATCTGTGTTGAGGCCACGTTTCAGGTGGGGAAAAGGGGGAACGGGGGAAGGAGGGGAAACATTGGGGGGGAAGAGAAGAGGTGGGGGGAAGGAGAGGAGGTGGGGAAGGGTTTGGGATGGATATGGAAGGGCTTTTAGAGGCGTTTGACATGCGGATGGGGGGGGGGGGGGAGAGGAATGGCCGAAACACTGATGGGGGGAGGAATGGCCGAAACAGAGGGTCGCTCTGATCTGTGTTGAGGCCACAACTCATCTCTCTCCCCTTCTCCCTCCCTTCCCCCCTCCCTGGCCATGACCAAGTGTGAGCTCCTCCTGGACGACCTATTCGACACGCTAGAGAGCTTCCCCCAGCTGTTGACCCTCAACTCAGATACACCCAATGTTTCCCCTCCCACATACTCCAGGCCAAGACAGAGTGCGAGTTGCTGCTTCTCCTCCTGGACGACCTATTCGACACGCTAGAGAGCTTCCCCCAGCTGTTGACCCTCAACTCAGATACACCCAATGTTTCCCCTCCCACATACTCCAGGCCAAGACAGAGTGCGAGTTGCTGCTTCTCCTCCTGGACGACCTATTCGACACGCTAGAGAGCTTTTCCCAGCTGTTGCACTTTGTGAATCAACTCACATGTCCCCCCTTTCGCTACCGCTTCCCATGTCCCTCCCCCTCCCAGGCCAAGACAGAGTGCGAGTTGCTGCTTCTCCTCCTGGATGACCTATTCGACACGCTAGAGAGCTACCCCCAGCTGCTGCACGACATGCGCTTTGCACTGCGCCTGCCCATGGGCGTGCACGAGCAGCAGCAGAACCGCCTGGCGCGCAGCCGTGGCGTCGCTGCTTCCGCCGTGCGCGAGGCTTTGGAAAGCCCGTAGGATAGTCTTTTGAGGCGCCTCAAGAATGCACGAGCAGCAGCAGCAGCAGCAAGAGCAGCAGCAGCAGCAGCAGCAAGAGCAGCAGCAGCAGCAGCAGCATAACCGCCTGTCCCGCAGCCATGTTGTTCCTACTTCCACTGTGCGCGAGGCCTAGGCAATCCAATAGGGAGGTTCGGTTTCCGGGCCTAACTGTGATGGTGAGGCTCGGATTCTGGGCCTACCCATGGGCTGAGGTCCGGACCGGATACCAGACCTACCCATGCGCTGCCCACAATGCTGTCTAGCAGCATCCACGTGTTTGTTCCATTCCATTCACTCCTCAGTGAGGGGAGAGAAGTTCCCTGGCTAGCTAGCAAGCCACATCACGAACGATTCACTAACCCAGCGGCGCATGCTGTGCTGTGCCGCTTCCTCGAGTCACACGAGCAAACCAGACGGGGAATCTGTTGGGCAAAATGGTTTGGTATTCTCTGTGAGAGTGTGCGTGAAAGTTCGCGTGAGAGTGTGCGAGAGAGTGCGTGTGAGAGAGCGCGTGAGATAGCGTGTAGGTTTGTGTGTTAGTTTCTCAGGGAGTGTCTAAGAAAGTTGAGAGTCTGCTTATGGGAGTCTACCAATCATGGGATAGGTAGCTGAACCTGATTTGCTTATGCCAATTATGCCCTGTTGGTCTCAAAAATAAGTAGCTAGATCTGATTTGCTCATGACAACAATCTTGTATCTAATTTAAATATACGGTAGTTTCTTGTCCATGTGATTACACACTGCCTTGCTCTGGGATTTGGCCTCTTCCATGCTGTGCGTTGTCTGGTGTTGTATTAGTGCTTCACCTGATCTGCCAGCGGTGCAACAACCCCTTACCGTGATCAGGGGCGAGACAGTCAAGCTGACTTGTCTAAGAAGCAGCATACGGCACAGCAACATGTATGCTACCGTAAGAAGCTCTCAATCGAAGCAATGTTTGCAGCACAGCTCCCAGTGTTTGCATTGCAATGTGATACCGGTACCGCTGGTCCATAAACAAAACACTCAGCAACATATACGGTATGCAATAAACTACACCCATCTTGTGTCCTACCACCCCCACGGAGTAGGCTACTACCATCTCAATGAGAGCACTTCTTCTCTTCTCCTAACCCCTGCCCATGAGTTCAACCTTAAATCATGCTGGCCAGCCCTCTCCAATCCACCCCACTTTGCTCTCATTGAGAAGGAATAGCCTGCTCCTCCTCCCTCTCCAATCCACCATTTCGGGCCACCCATTACCAGTTGACAGCGCTGCAGGTGCGGCGAGTCTCCCCCTGCGTGCCTGTGAGCACGCCCGCTTCGCCCATGCGGATCATGGAGTGGCTGAACTGCCGGAAGAACGGCCCTCTGTTATGAAGCATACAGACCCACCCCACCAGCCTGCTCCCAACCCCCCATCCCCCGCGCTACCATTCCGGGCCACCCATTACTAGTTGACAGCGCCGCAGGTGCGGCGAATCTCCCCCTGTGCGCCAGTGAGCACGCCCGCTTCGCCCATGCGGATCATGGAGTGGCTGAACTGGCGGAAGAACGCCCTCCTGTCCGAAGCGTAACGGTTCACCAGCTGCCGAGTGCGCGAGTCGATCGCCAGCACCTGGTCGCTCGACAGCAGCCCGAACTTCTGCTGAAGGTTCTGGAAGTACTGCGGTGCAGAGAGATACAGGGAGGAAAGAGCGAGGGAGGCGTAGGGAGAACGAATGGAACATTATAAGAAGGATGTATCCAGCTATGCTTTTTAAAGCGTCACGGTGGGGCAATGGGTCTGACTAAAGACAGGGAAAAATGAACGAGAGAAGGAATAAGTTCGGGCAGCTAGAAAGTTCAGGAAACTAGATATGTTCGGGCAGCTCACGTGATTGTCGAATGTAGAACCGCTGGAGCTATCGAGGTCAACGAAAACCTTATCGTCAACGTTGGGAGCCTTGCACTGGCCATTGAGGTAGTCCCGCAACTGCGGAGCCATGGACGTATCGCTGTTGGGCGCGATTCGGTGCGCGACGGAGCCGCAGCTCGCGTCGCCGATCGTGTGCGCGCCGGCAAGCGTGACGAGGTCGACGAGCGTGAGGTTCGCGACGGCGAAGTTTCGCAGGAGTTCGTTCACGTTCATCCGGTGGCCGGGCAAGGAACTCGACGCGAGAGACGCCAAGGAGGTGCGCGAATCGCGGCGGCCCAGGTCCACAGGCCAGAACGGACCGCCAGCCTGCCGGGGGACACAAGGCAACCAGAGACGAGTTTTGAGGCACCGCGAATCTACTTTTGAGGCCCCGCGAATTGCGGCTGCCAGGTCCGTAGGCCAGTACGGGCCACCAGACTGGCGCGCGACACCGAGGCAACCAGAGGCGAGCATGATGCAACGTGTAGAACGCGGCATGGGCGGCGGCGGGAAGGATATACGCGCAGGATAGATGCTGGAAGTGTGATACGTTTTGCGGCAGCAATGCAGCGCATCTAACAGAAAATCGATGATCTCGAAGCCGTTGAGAGTCAGGTTAGGCGGCGCTTACCAGAACGACGCCGTCGCGCGAGGCGAGCGTGACGATGTCGGCGCAGCTGACGACGCCCGGGCATTGCGCCTCGACGGCCTCTTTGATGCGATCTATGATGTCGAATCCGTGGAGCGTGAGATTGGGCGGCGCGTCTTTCTCCGCCTGGTTGTCTGCCGTCGAGTCGATCAGCACAGACCCATCGCAACCCTGTGACGCCGTTGCAACAAGGGATAACGAGAATGACGTCACAAGACAGTCGCCCAAGATTCTTGGCCGTTGTGCGCGACACGGCGTAGGCATGTTAATGACGAACTGAATCAGATCCATACTAGAATCGTGCGAAACGTAAGCGCGTTACTGGGAGGAATGTAATCGACAAGGAGCTCATAGTGGTACCTGAACGAAGCAGTCGTGGAAGTGGAGGCGCAGAAGCGGCGCGGGGATGAGTCTGTTTTTCATAAATTCGTCGCGGACGATATCTCGCACAATCCCCTCGACGCCCGGGCACGAGTTCCTGTAATAGTCCCTCCTCAATAGACCACCTCTGCCTCCGCCTCGCGGTGGGCCACCTCCGCCTCCCCCTCCGCCTCGCGGTGGGCCGCCTCCGCCTCCCCCTCCGCCTCGCGGTGGGCCGCCTCCACCTCCGCCTCCCCCTCCACCTCCACCTCCACCTCGCGGTGGGCCGCCTCCACCTCCTCCTCCGGGTGGACCTTGCCTTCCACCTCCACCTCCGCCTCTACCTCCAGGGCGTTGTGCATGAGACGTAAGCCATGCGGCGTTGACGAGCACGAGCAGCAGGAGAAATGGCAATACACGAGCCATAACGGAAAACCTGATGTGAGGACCACGGATGTAAGTGAGAAGGAAGAGGCTTGGCTGGATGGATAACGAATGGCCCGAGGATGGGATGGGAAGCCCAGCTTTTATCCACACGAATAGCGGCGCGGGCACTTCCACAAACAGAACAGAACAGAGCAGAGGTTGAGCGGCTCGGATTCGTGCATTTTTTTAGTACGGTATGCTACGGTGTGAGGGATTCCACACGTGCAAATGATGCTTCATCCCTCGTGTGAAGGAATTCCTCCCCACGTACACATCCCCGCAGGATAAAGAAAAGGGGTGGGTCAAACATTTTCGGTTCAACGCTTTTCTTCGGAAGGATTTCGTGAGAATTATGTAGACTGTAGAAAATCGTGAAGTGTTACCTTTGTCGCGAATATCAGGTTCGCATCGATTGGAATCGTATTCGAGTGCGCTGTTCACGACCTTCGCAAGGCTCCCAATGACAACTTTCCAGCAGATTCGTCAGGACGTTTCAGCAGAGGTGCCTCTTTAAAGCCCGAGTCCCAAATTGCGAGGCGCGTGGGTCATGCTTTTAAAACTTGACGAAGTGCAGTGTGCAAGCTTTGAAAAGTAGCGCACCTGCAATTTGGTACTTTCGGGTGCTGACACAACCCCCAGGGCGAAATACGTGGGCTGGCTGGGTTTGGCGAAAAAAACGAAATGCCCGAAATCGGAATCACTCGCCAAAACCCAGACCAGGAAAAACCCCTCGCGTCATCCTTTTAAAACTTGTGCAATTTGGGCTTCCGGCCTTAAAGTTGGGCCCAATCACACGGAAGGGATTTTATTAGAAACAACGTCCCATTTGTCGTACAATAACAAGCTCATCTAATAAACTCTCAATTAGAGGAGCAGCTCTGCACTGGGAAACCGGACCCTTGATAGGTTTCTAGACAGAATAAGGTCATATATTACACCTTGCTTCGTCAGCAACATCATATAAATCATACGAGATATGCTATCCCTAAGATTCTGCCTCTAGTCAAACTAGGCCAGTCAGGACCTAGAGTGAGTGCATCCCACTAGAAGTCAACATAGCCCTATCTGGATGAAGCCAAGTTAGGATAGAACGTACCATGCTCTAAGCTACTGCCTCTCTATGAATGCGTCATTTTGCCCCTCCATGCCCCTCCAATCCACCATCCTACCATACTCTCATAGAGAGAGGACCCTACTCCTCCCTCATCCAAATCGACCATACCGCCATCCATCAGTTGACGCGGCTGCATTCGCGGCGGATCTCCCCCTCTTCGCCAGTGAGCACGTTATTTGCCCCCATGCGCAACATGGAGTGGCGAAACTCGCGAAAAAAGTCCTCCTGGTCCGCCGCATAACGGTCCACGACGTTGCGAGTGCGCTCGTCGATCGCCAGTACCTGGTCGCTCGACAGCAGCCCGAACTTCTCTTGGAGGTTCTTGTAGTACTGCAGGGAGAACATAGGGAGGGGCGAGCGAGGGGCAAAGATGGTAACAGATTAAATAGAGGGTTTGGACATGCTAAATCCGTATTTCCGCATGGTCACTCGCAGTAGCTAGGTAGTTGACCTTCCTTAGGCATGGCCGCAAGAAGCCACGTTTTGGTCGAACGTGGTGCATTGGCTCACCATGCCAGTGCTAGTTACGAAGGAACGAAAGGTAAAAAAAAAAGGAGGCCATGCCGAGTCGGTTCACCTGGTTGTCGAATCGGTTTTTGGTGCGGAAGTCGAGGTCCACTTCTTTACTGGGTTCCTCGGTGGGAGCTCTGCACTTGTCATTGAGCTTCTCACGCAGGGAGTTTGCCATCGTGGGGTCGTGGTTGGGCGCGATCCGGTGGTCGACACTGCCGCAGTGCGCGTCTCCGATCGTGTGCGCGCCGGAGAGCGTCACGAGGTCGAGGCGCGTGAGGTTCACGGCGGCGAAGTTTTTCACAAGCTCGTCCACATTCATACGGTGGCCGGGCATAGCCGCCTCCGCACGAGACGCCCTGGAGGAGCGTGAGTCGCGGCGACCGAGCTGCGTGTCGATGTACGGGCCGCCAGCCTGCCCAGCACGAGCCAACCAAACGGAGATCATGAAAGGGGATAAATTCGATTTGTGAAACCGCATTGTGGATGGCGTGCCTGGGTGAAATAAGTACTGGGAAAACGCCGCGGGAGCAAACGCGGCAGAATCTTTGGAAATTGTCGTAACGGAAAGGCGGGAAGTCGGCGCGGCGGCTGACGGTGACGCTTACCAGAACGACGCCGTCGCGAGCGGCGAGAGCGACGATGTCGGCGCAGCTGACGACGCCGGGGCACTCCGCCTCGACGGTCTCCTTGATTTTGTCGATGATGTCGAAGGCGTGGAGCGTCAGGTTGGGCAGCGCGTCTTTCTCCGCCTGATTCTCCAACGTCGAGTTGATCAGAATAGAACCATCGCAACCCTGCGAAGCGTTGGCAGGATAATAGGCGATGAGAAAAATGATATTATGCTAAGAGCCGGCGAGCGAAGCGGAAAAAAGGAGCCGGGAAGATGTTCGTGGTACCTGAACGAAGCAGTCGTGGAAATGGAGGCGAAGAAGTGGCGCGGGGAGGGTTTCGTCTCTAATAAACTCGTCAAAGACGACATCTCGAACAATCGACGTGATGTATGGGCATGAGTCTCGGTAGAAGTCTCTGCTCAATCTGCTCGAACCGTATTCATCGGCATGCGACGTACGCCATGCGGCAGTGACAAGGAGAAGCAGCAGGAGCGACAGCAATCCACGAGCCATGACTGCAGGGAAAGTTGAACAAAAGGGAAACGTCACGTATACGAAAACGAAGGGGTGGCTGGAGGTTGAACAAATGTGGATTGAAGGTGGTGGTAAGCAAGCCACGATTTTACAGTACAACATTGCGGCGCGGGCACTCCCACGGGCAGGCCGCAGGACAAAGCACCGCCGGAGCGGCTCGGGCTGGTGTGCTTGTAGGGGCTTCGGCAACAGAACGAAGGAAATAATCACGCGACGCGACGACTCTCGAATTTTGCTCAATCCTGTCGACTACCCTCGCACCGCGCTACCCGATTTTTGATATTTCTAAATCTTATGGACTTCTACATGCGCTTTCGTGATAACGGCATAAACACTCTCGACAAAGTTTGTGTCGGATTTGTTGGACGACACATTCTTTAGCCAGGCATGGTTTACCCTGAATACGCAATAACCGTTCAGCCAATTGTTTTTTAAGGCTATAAGGTTATGCAAGGTGTTATATATCTTCAATATGACATAGTTTTCAATCATATTCGGAACTGAAAAAGAAACTGAACTTAATAATAAACTGCTTCACACTTCTACGAGATTTAATTAAAGAGAAATACTATGTATTCTTGCATAATTTTGCAAAATTGCATTTCTTGAGGCAACACACAAAACCTATTTGAACATGCCTGTGAATTTTTGGGTTGAAAATAACCGACTTTTGCTACATTTGAGAAGTGTAGTCCATGCTATAATATTTTCTAGTCCGATGCAAGAGTCCCGTTGCCTCATTACGGCTGGTCCTAATGTATACTATAATACGACTTTGTATTTTTTTGAATCATTCTAGCCCTGAAGTATTTACCCGTTTTGTCAGCACGACCATTTTGAATCATTAATGCAACTGCACAAAATGACAACTCGTACAAAGGGGTTGCATTTATTGCATATGGATATCGTCAAATGTGTTCTCACCAAAAAACAAGAAATCAAAGGGATCCGAAATTGCTGATTAAAAAATACGTAGTCAGACCAGACCGTAAAAGCGGGTGTAGAGAAAGTTGCGCTCCAGGGGATTGAGAGAATTTAAAAAATGGGGAGCGCGGTGCGAGGTTAGTCCACAAGATTGAGCAAAATGTGAAACACGTCGCGTCGCGCAATTATTTCAGAACGAAGCCACAATGTTGCGGCTCGGGATTCTGTGTGCTCTTGACTGGGGAATTGCACACGTGCGTTTCCTGACTTGCACACCGTGCGACAGGATTGAGAAGTAATCACGGTCAAGAATAACAAATACACCTGATGCCCATTGCAGTCCCGTTCCCCATCTTTTCCTTTGCTCCTCTTTCGAGCATGCGCTCTCTACGGGGAGAATGGGACTGTATCTGGGGAACTCGATTCACCTATTCGAGGTCAGGAATATCTTAGCTTTGTCGTGGGCTAGTAACGCGCGGGCCGTTGGCTGTGAATGTCGACCACTGGGCGTATGGAGTGGCAGTGGGCGTGTTCAGAGTGGGCGGTTGAGTGAGCATTAGGGTGTACTTAGGACGTGTCACGGTTTGCCTCTGATCAGCTGTGATCTGGTCGGGTCTGATCGGATCGGAGTCCCCTGATTACTGTGCTCGCGCCGCCCGATCAGAGAAGAAATCCCTCGAATATTCTATGAGGGTGCTTGACGCCCACTTTGGCGAGGGCGAAGTCCTCAGCCTGGCTTACCGAATTTAATGTTTCCATGTAATTTCGCGTAAGAAGATGCTCAGTAACGATGCTGAGGGTGGTTTAGAAAGTTCGCCAGGGTGGTTTGTTTGAGCGAGAGCTTCACGATACTAAGCACAGCACCGTAACTTGTCGATATCGTCGTTTAGTACCCCAAACCAATGCAGTCAACTGATCGTCGGTGATCGTGTGGGGCTGTGTTTGATTGGGCTTATTTAGACGGTTGATCGAGTTGGGGCAATCAACTGATCGCGATCAAGTGATTGCCCCCGATTGCCTGAAAGCGCAACCCTAGCTTCCCGGAATTTATTGATCGACTTTGATCGGGGCAATCAGAGGCGAACCGTAACACGTCCTTACAATTCCAAAGTTAAATATCGAGTCGACGATCCCATATTTATCGTTTTCCCCGAATGTTGGGCCAGTTCGATCTGGAGCCTCTGATTGGCTGCGGAGCTTATTCGTGCAATGATTCGGTCAAGCTGCAAAATTTTCCACCAAAAAAAGGACTAATAAGGGTCGGGCGAAACCAAATCGATATCGGAAAACTCTGCTCAAGGGGGAAAAGGGACTCTTTTAGGGAAAGCCTCTAACCCGGAACATCTGTACGAGGCCACCACTTTGATCGATAAGTAGAGTTTTGGTTCTGCGCGCGAAGAACTTCCAGGAGTTCGTGGACAGATACAGCTGTCGTAAACATCAGCTATGCAGGTACACGAACGAAAACGCGAATTCTCCTGGGTTCATTCGCGAGTTTCGCCCTAGAACTGAACTACAGTATCTGGAAGAACCAAGCCACAAGAGAATTTGGCGCAAGTCAAGATAAGCTATTAGCACAGGTTCAAAATAAAGAAGATAAAGACAGAGCACATGGTCGTGAATACAAGTGCATAAAACTATTGTATTGGATGATTGGTGCACACAGAATCGAGAGATTTTATAGGAATACTGGGCTATTGGAGGAAATTTAAGGTTTTCCACCACCACAAGAATCCTCCATCCCAGCGTGGACTTTCGTACATTAATTATTTCCAACCCAAATGAATCTTGCCAATACAGGTTGGATTTCGGACCCTGATGACCACCAGAACAGATGGTATCTATACTGTACATACAAGTGATGTTAGTTCACAAGCAGATCACTTTGGGGTGACTATAACCTGAAGTTGTCTATATCGTGCACAACAGTAGTGAATGTGCTGTAGTCCGTGTCGTACGTGGTTTGATGGTCTGCTAGTCAATGAGGTGGTCTCAAGTGTATTTCGTGCGAGTGACGTGGCTCTCCATGATTCGGTCAGCCTTTGCTCAAATAGGATGCCCCTGAATGAACTCAAACGATTGGGGTAAAGATCTTGTTCGTCGACAGGGTAAACATGGACCGATTATTCCTCCATGCGTGGCATATTCCACCTCAAATTCTGTCGCTCAAGCGCTGGTATTCGCTGGATTATAATATTCTGTTCATTCCTTCGCGTTTTATTAGCCAATCATCCAAGGCCACCTGACCAGGGCAGGCTACTAACGAAAGGTCGGACCTCTGGCGTTTACCCTCCTAATTTCTTCAAACCAGACCAGGAACTGTGACGTGATTGGTTCCAAACCAGAGCTCTTGGTTTTCTCTGCTGGAACCAGATAGACTTGCGACATTGAAGTTAGGTAATCACGAGGCGCTCCCTAGGTGCTCGTCTGTGTCTCTTGGAGTTCCCTAGTTCCCGCCCAACCGTCAGGTAACCTGGAGGCGCACGCTTTACCTAGATTCCACCACGAACGGGTAGACTGTTGCTGGAACCAGGCATAATTCAGCCGTACTTTCACGCTTATGCTAATCGAACAAGGGGCACTACGCAAGGATCTGTACATATTATCCAACTTCGTTGAATCTGCGGTTGTCAATTTCCGCAGCCAGTCACTTCAATCCTGCTGAACCATCAGCTGCTTAGCAGTTGCTGGAATTTGCCATGTCTGCTCAATTTTCCACGTGCCATGCTGCGGCTGGCATCTCTGCCACGCTAGTAAATACCACCCAATACGCCAGTGTTTCGAGTGTGTCCCACGCCGTGAAGCCCGCTCTTGGCCTTGCCTCGCATGTGCGGCAGCGCGCGTCGCACAGCAAGGGCTCCGTTGCCAGGTCACCTGGCCTAGTCCACATGGCCGCCATTTCCGCGTCAATGTCCGAAGATGTGGAGGGTAATTATCCTTCTCCCGAAGCAAAGTCCACAGCAGCAGCCCTGTCAAATATGAATTCGGATATTTCACGTCCCCCTGGGTGCGATTCTTTGCAAGCTGCTCCATTGACTCAAGCGGGATCTGCTGTAGCTGAGCCAGCTGTAGCGGCCCCGGCTGTAGCAGAATCCGCTGTAGCAGAGTCCGCTGTAGCAGAATCCGCTGTAGCAGCGTCCGCTGTAGCGGAGCCGGCTGTAGCGGGCCCGAACGAGTTGGTGGAGGACGGCGCTGTGATCGTGCGAGACGACCTGGACGAGCTGCTCCACTGCCTGCCGGGGAACCTTCGCGGAAACTTGCTGCAGCACCCTCGCAGATCTGAGCTGCTCGAGGTGCGCTCAGGGGCTACGGGTCCATTTGTATTTGATTTATGCAGGGTATTTTTGGAAATACTGGGAATTACCTCGACGTAAGCTCAGGATTCACGCGTCCACCATTCCGTCGGCAC